TTTGGGACGGCAACAAGTGGGTCTGATTGCATCAGAGCCCGATCCCAAAGGAGTCTCCGGAGGCGGTTTTCGTGGTTCTTCCTGGCCTACTTGGAGAAGGCCAGGCAATGCGCACATTTATCCGTCCTATGCCCCTCTCCCAGGCAGAGGAGGCATAGGTCATGTGGGTCAGTTGGTGCCATTTTTGACCCGCAGTCCGCACATTTGCGGAAAGCCGCTCGCTGCGCCATTGCAGAAGAAGAAGGAGAGGGATAGTGCAGAGGGTAAGTATATATTTTTGGTTTTTTTAGACAGATCAAAAGTAGAAATAACAAGAGAAAAACTACGAGGAACAATGAACCGAGAGCAAGGTTTTTTTTTTTTAGAAGAAAAAACTGGGAAAGAAGGACAATCGAGACCAAGGTAACAGCTCTAAGTGAAAGCTGAAAGCAGCATGAGGCACAGTGAACAGCGGTCGCAAAGACTGAACAAAATGGCGGACTCTCCACTCGTTATAGGCCATGGGGGAGGGGAGCAGAGCTTTCCCGCCAAAAACTGTTAGCTTGCAATCTTCCAGCCAAAGGCACTGCGCAGGCGCAGCACCCCATATGTGTGATGCACAGAGGCCACGACGAAGAACTCTCACTTTTCTCCAGGTACAGAGGAACAGCAGAGGCTCTCCTTGACTGTGTGCTTTTGCTAGAGCATCAAGATTTTACACATGACAAGCTGGCAAAGGTATGTTTGGATCCTCATCTGCAGGGCAAAATGGCAACTAGTGGGCTTCACATCTTATCTTGTTTCAATTAACTCCTACACTGCTATTCAAGCCAAGCAAAACTTTCTTCTAGCAGCATCAGGCTTCCATTAGTTCTAAGGCCTTAAAAAAGACAGCTAGTCAGTTGCTTTTAAGAACCTAAAGATTACACAGATTCATTTTGCAGTTTTAATCAGTCTGCAAAAGCTTCCAGTGATGCCATTTTTAAAAAGGAGAGCATGTACACAACATTTAAAGAAAAAACAAAACAAAAAGAATTCTGAGAAAGAAGGTTTACCACCCTACAAAGACTAGTTGGTCCATTCTTGGGAAAGTTCAGAGAGTGAGAAAAAGACATGCATAAGCTGCTGGAACAATTACAGGTCACCAGTTTTAGCACCATTTCTTGCCATTTGAGAACAATCATTATTCCCTTTGCCCCAAGTCCTGTGTGTGCAAACTTTTACAGTGTTTACATGATTTACATCAGGCATAGAGTTCCGTAGATACAGTTCTGAACAGGACAGGACAGTGTTCATATCTCCAACTCAACAACCAATGGCAAAATTGCTATGTTCAGGTGACAAATTCTCTCTGCCTTAGTTCCTCTTCCATGAATGAAAGACAACCACAGCCTTGAGATAGGAATCCTCAAAATTCCAAGTGGATTCACTGGCCAGGAACACCTAAAGCTGATATATCAACTGCAGCCATATCTGGACAGACAGAACCTGGCAACAGTTATCCATGCACTGGTAACCTCTCACGTGGAATACTGCAATGAGCTCTAAGTGGGTCCTCCCTTGAAAATGGTCTGGAAACATCAACTGGTCCAGAATAGGGCAGCTAGACTGCTAATAAGTACTGAATGATACAATCATATAAAATCAGTTCTCTACCATCTTCACTGACTATCAGTTGAGGTCTGGGGCCAATTCAAGTTGCTAGCACTAATGTTTAAATGGCTTGGGAACAGGTTATCTAATGACTGTCTCTTCCTGTACAAACTTACCTGGTACCTTAGAGTCACATCTGAGGCCCTTCTGAGGGAGCCCCCTCCTTAAGAAATAGAAATGTTTTAATAAATAAATAAACAAATAAATAAACAAGAAGGGCCTTCTTAGGAGTGGCACCTGACTTTGGAATGCGCTCCCCAGAGGTGTTTACCTGGCACCTTCTTTATATTCTTTTTGGTGCCAGGCAAACATTTTTTTTTATTTTGACAATATTTTAATTGTTAACCCGTTTTTATTGGCATCATAAAAGCGGGGTATGCCTTCTATGAAATTATCAATTCTGTTACGGAGGTATGTTATTTATTTTATTATTTTAACATTTTATCACAATGTGCTCAGAGCTTTCATATTGTATTATATGGTTTTATTATTGTAACCTGCCCAGGGAGCTGTATGGCTAATGGGATGGGTTAGAAACCTAATGTAAATAAATAAATAGGAATTCTAATATTCTTTATATATATGATGCCAGAGGGAATCAACACTGTGGCTGAGAAAAAAGGGGAGCAAGTTAGGGAGTGTTCTTTTGTTTTCTTTTACAAAAGCTTCCAGCGAGCACACAACCCTTTTCAGCCTCGATACGATGGCGCAAAAGAGTGTGTACACTAGAGTGAGGGTCCTGCTGCCCCAGAAAGCATTGCCCTTGGGAACAACTGGCTTTGCAGCATTGTAACATTGGGTTCCATGGTAAAGCAGAAGAGGCAGGCACAGGGCAGACAGTGCCAGCATTTTACAAAACCACAGTGTTAACAAGGTCAGTAAAGTCATATTATTTGTTCACAGAAGAAATCTGATATCCTCACCTAAAAGAATGTTTAAAAAAATGTTCTGGTGATCAAGATGCTGTGCAAAAAGCCTATGCTAAGCTGTGGGAAGGGCTTAGAATCCACCATCTGTAGTCATCATCTACTAGAGCAAAGAGATCAAGTGATCTCTTCCTCCTTCAGCCTCTCCTTTTCCGTTCCCAGCAGATTAAAAGAAGCTGCTTCTAACAAGAGTTGTTTGTTATGTTAAAGCTGGCCTGTCAGGACTGGCTTTGTGAAACAGAGGGAGTAATATAAATGCCCACAGCAAGAGACACTTTTCAAGTCAATGAAACCTCTAATTTTGGATTTAGTGTTGTTTAGCAAAATAGGAAGCATAAGAAAGCCAACATGCTCACTCACAAACAACTTCACAGTTGTTCAGGAGCAACCAGGCAAAAAGTTCCATAATGTTGTTTGTTATTCTAGCTATAGCTTCTTTTTTATAGAGCAGGCGCTAATAAAAAGACATCTATGAGGAGAAGCCCATATCTTACCTTGAAGTATCCCACTGCTTAACAGCCTGACAAAACTAGTGTGTCTGATAAAAGGAAGGTAAATTTAGAATACAATAAATGACAGAATGATGATTTCATCACCTTAAGTTGAGAATCAACACCACTGATATTGCAGTTATCTACAATATGGTGAAAGCCATCACTTCCTGAATCCTAAGTGACAATCATAAATATGAACATTGTCTACAACAGCCTTCCTCAATCATATGCCTTCCTTCAACCAACCTGATACAAGTTGACCTTCAGTTCTCATCAGGCTAAACCTGAATAGCTAAAGGTCAGGAATCCTAGGAGTTGTAGTTCAGATCTGGCAGGCAACAGGTTGGAGAAAGCTAGTCTATCAGAGAGAAGGACAAAATCATAGCTACTGTTATTCACTTTCACCTAGACAGGTATATGGAAAGTCAGGTAAAAAGAAACTCGTAGGAGCCAGTTCCTTAACACTGTTCTACAGTTATAGGATCTCTTTTTAGCACTTCTGCAGCACTGACAGACTGTCCGTAGGGAACAGCTTGCTCCCACAGCCATGGGTTGCAAATTTCAACTGAAGGCTAGAACAGGAAGAGAAGGAGATGCTGCATTTGCCCAACAAAGGCTAGGCTTGGGACTATGCTCGGGACTATAGTTCCCTGTTGCAGAAACACCCTCTCTGCTAAAATGCCGGTTCAGAGTCCAATACATACTCCAAACTCTTTTAGAGTTTATTACAGTCCTATCCTATTATTAGTCTCCCTTTTCCCTGACCGAGCCTTAACCTGATTGACTCATTTCCCTAGACCATACTTGACACTTCCCTAACAATTGCCCTCGGTTTTATTATACCTCCTCTTAGAAGCTCGCTGTTCCACTTGCAAAGGATGTTTTTAAGTTTGTAACTGTGTGACCCAATTCTTCCACTCCTACCCTCCCTATTGCTCCTATCTTGCCACTGGCATTCTCAAGGGCTACTCCACTGTCCACCCAGCCTACCACAATGGGGAGGCATAAAAATGTTTTAATAAATAAAAAAATAAATAAATAAAATCTGCAGAACAAACACATTCCTTTTGGCCAGCCAGAAAACCTTTCCAGCTAGAGGCCCACATGGGCATGCTCAGGAAAGCCTTTCTGGCAGGACATGTTCCCCCTGTCCCTGGCATGGCCTGCCCATGCTGATGTCCTCCATGTGCCTGGGTGCAGGAGGAGGCAGTGCGTGGCAGTGTGAGTCCTGTACACGGAGGGGCAAGAGGGAGGGAGGGAGAAAGGTGTGTGTGCATGTACTTACATGGTACAGAACAGGGCAGCAGCAAGGAGTGTTCCTGCAGTGCTCCTGTAGAGCAGGGGTCCTCAAACTTTTTCACCAGGGGGCCAGTTGAAAGCTGCCGGTGCTGGGGGTGTGCCGGCAAGGGGGCAGGGGTGGGTGGCGAGTCACGGGTGGGCATGTGCGGGGAGGCGAGGTGAGGTGTGGGCAGGCACGCACTGCAAGGTAGGTGCACGAGGCAGCAGCTTGCTTGCTTGGAGATTGTTTTCTCCGAGCAAGCAAACCACTGTCTGCCCTGCATGGGGCGAGGTGGGTCCAAATGGGCATGGCGAGCTGGATCTGGCCCCTGGGCCGTAGTTTGAGGACCCATGCTCTAAAGCAACAGTGCTACTCTAGCAAGCAGGCTGTTGCTTTGCTGAGCATCAGGAAAAAAATCCAAAAAGGCAGCTGGTTGCAGCCACCCTGAGGAATTGTGGGCCAATGAGGAAGAGGCAGGTAAGACAGAGGCATACCCTGGGATTGACTTCACAAGGGCTGATGGGATATGTGACACCATTTGGAGGAAAACTGGAGAATCATGGTAACCATGCATGCATAGACACCATACAAATGTGAGCACACAAGACACCAGGTGAGATACCATGACACACCATCACTATGCGGCATTGCTTAGCATTATGTGGGAACAAAGTAACTACCTTCCTCCCCTGAAACAACAGTACTGCTTACCTGATGCTCTGCAGGATGCTCTTCTATATTTAAAGGAACCTTTGATTCAACATCTTCCCACCCAGGAACCCTCTGTAAGGCAGGGTCATCGTGGGTGACTGTTCCATTTTTACATTCTACAACCTTCATTTCCTTACTGACCTGGTGGTGGTGGTGGTGAAAGAAAAGGCTTTTCTGTGGCATTGGCAGAAACCAGGCCACGGCAAAGGCAACTGATACGGAGGTGAGAGACACCACATTCAACATGAACAGAGACCAGCCAACAACTGACACCAAGATTTGTCCACAGATAGAGCCCACAGTGTAACCTACAAGGGTAGCACTTCGACAGTAGCTTGTGACTTTTTGGTACAAGTTTAGGTCCACAACGCTATAGATGTAGGAATAATAGGCAATTTCTGTTGCAGTCACCAGACCATAGAAAAATTCCAGGAACTGAATAGCCAGCAGTCCTTTGGCATAGAGCAGCATAAACCATGTCACTATAAGGCTTAGTCCTTGTAGAAGAATTACAGGCTTGTATCTGAGATAGTCTGTTGCCAGGAAGACAGGAAACAGGAGCACCAAATACGAGTAAGTCCATACTGGATAGATTTCATTGAAGACCTACAAGAGGAAAAACTTATGAGCTTTCTAGAATGGGAAATTCACATTCTATTCTGACTAATACAGGGATGGGCAACTTGTGACCGTCCAGATGTTCTGTTATGACCAGCATTGTCAGAAAACCTGGAGGCACAAGTTGCCCATCACTGTATTAATGGAACCTGAACATGTTGCTCGTAGTCTTGTAGAGTTTTCTTTACACTACATCACTGCATCACACAGTTTTAAGGTGCACAACACACACACACACACACACACTTTGCAATTCAGCCCCACACGGGACAGAAGATGGCTGCAGCTTCCTGGGGATAAAATGCCTGAGACCCATTTTTAAGGGTCACTTAATCACTTAACATCCAGGGGACCAAGTGAATGCCAGTTCAAGAAAAAGTAACCAATGGAAAGGCAACTTCATTCAAGTCTTGGCTGTTTAGATTCAAACACATATCCCAGTAAAAATCAGGTTGCAAATTAGCTATTCAAGAATATCTTTTGCAGCTAAGAAAGTGGAAGTCATGGGTCCATGTATTGCTACTCACACACTCCCACTATTGCACCCTCTACCCCTTTCCTTAAAAGCGTAATTTCTGCCCAAAATCTCAGAGTAACAAATCTGGAGCCCACTAATGGGACTTCCTGAATCACTCATAATAGGCCTGGTTCGCCCGGGTCCTAAGGAAGATCCGATGCCACCCTCAAAGGCCCGCTGTGACGACTTTGCCAGGCATTTCAGGGAGAAAATCGCTCAGATTCGTCACGAGCTGGACTCCACTAATGAATCAGAGGTCTCTGAGGAGACGCCAATGCTACCGTCTGGTCCAGAATTATTGGATGAATTTCAGTTATTGCGGCCCGATGATGTGGACAAGGTGCTTGGACGAGTACGTCCCACCACTTGCCTATTGGATCCTTGCCCGTCTTGGTTAATAAATAACTCCAAGCACGGGATTGGGACCTGGATCTTGGAAGTGGTTAACGCTTCTCTGAGGGAGGGTCGAGTGCCTGCCCCTTTAAAGGAGGCGGTAATACGACCGGTCCTGAAGAAAGCGTCACTGGATCCAGAGATGGCCACTAACTATACACCTGTGGCCAACATCCCGTTTCTGGGCAAGGTGTTGGAGCGAGTGGTGGCGGGACAACTCCAAGCACTCTTGGATGAAACTGATTATCTGGATCCTTTTCAGTCCGGCTTCAGACCCGGGTACGGTACTGAATCTGCCTTGGTCGCCCTGTACGATGACCTGTGCAGGAAGAAGGATGGGGGAGTGCATCCCTGTTGGTTCTTCTGGACCTCTCGGCGGCTTTCGAAACCATCGACCATGGTATCCTTCTGGATAGGCTAGCGGGATTGGGGGTTGGAGGCACTGCTTTGCAGTGGTTCGGCTCCTATCTCAACGGTCGATTCCGGAAGGTAGTGCTGGGGGACTATGTCTCTACGTCATGGCAGTTACGCCATGGAGTACCACAGGGCTCCATTCTATCCCCTCTGCTATTTAACATCTATATGAAACCGCTGGGAGAGGTCATCAGGAGGTGTGGGCTGCGGAATCATCAATACGCTGATGATACCCAGCTCTACCTCTCATTTTCCACTAATCCAGGTGAGGCAGTGGCTGTGCTGAACCAGTGCTTGGCCGAGGTAAGGGAATGGATGAGGGCCAATAAACTGAAACTCAGCCCAGACAAGACAGAGGTCCTGTTGGTTGGCGGATCGGGTTTCGGAGAGGGTGGATTTAACCTGGTCCTGAATGGTGCAACACTCCCTCTTAGGGACAAGGTCCGCAGCTTAGGAGTACTCCTCGACCCGGAGCTTTCTTTGGAAGCTCAGGTGACAGCGGTGGCGAGGAGCGCCTTCCTTCAGCTTCGGCTGATTAATCAGCTGCGCCCCTACCTGGAGTACGACTGCCTGGCGACGGTGACACACGTGCTGGTGACTTCCCGCCTAGACTTCTGTAACGCGCTTTACGTGGGGCTTCCCCTGAAGACAGTCCGAACACTTCAATTGGTGCAAAATAGAGCTGCCAGGTTGCTGACGGGGACGGGGCGTTATGCTCACATGACTCCAGTCCTCCGTCAGCTTCACTGGCTTCCCATTGAAGCCCGGGCCCAATTCAAGGTGTTGGTTATGACCTATAAGGCCCTAAATGGCTTGGGGTCCTGGCTACCTGAACGAGCGCTTACGTCCGTATATGCCCGACCGCCCTTTGAGATCTGCGGGAGAGTCCCTTCTCCGGGAACCCTCCATGAAGGAAATTAGGAGAGTAAGTACTCGGAAGAGGGCTTTCTCTGCGGTGGCACCCAACCTATGGAATTCATTCCCCAAAGAGGTCCGCCTGGCACCGTCGTTACTGGTTTTTCGGCACCAGGTAAAGACCTTTTTATTTAAACATCATTTTAATTGTTAAAACTTATGATCTGGCCAGGGCAACTTCTTCTTCCTTCTCTTTTCTCCTCCTATATTATTTATTTACTTATTTTATACTGATAATTTTAATTTTATATTTGTAACTCAGTGTATCTTTTGTATTTTTGTATTTAATGGTAATTCATTATGTTCTATTGTATTTCAATGTATTTTATTGTGTTGTAAGCCGCCCCGAGGTTTCGGCAAGGGGCGGCATAGAAATGTTGTTATAATAATAATAATAATAATAATAATAATAATTAAACAAGACTCCAGGAGTGACCCATTCTGTCAGCAGCAGCATCAGGCATCAGTTCCTAATGGTGGAAACTCACACCAGCCTGGAAGCCAAACCCTTGAACTCAGAAACCTGCTTAATTCACAGCTGATGAGGCAGTCTCCAGAAGTTTATGGTAACCGAGATGACTCAATATTTATTTATTTGCTTTACATCCTGCCTTTTTTTCTTACAAAGAACTCAAAACAGCTCACATCATTCTCCTTCTCCTGTTCTCAATCTTATCTCCACAACAACAAACCTGTGAGGTAGGTTGGGTGGAAAGGCAGGTTGGCCCCAACGTCACCCAGTTAACTCCATGGCTGAGCAGGGGCTAGAACTCAGCCTGAGTGCCAGTCCCACACTCTTAATCACTACACCATAGTGATATTGGCTTCAGAACTACGGCTCTCTCCCGCCCAGAAACAGAAAGCCAGTCAACACATGTTCAGGGGCACTGTTTCGTTTAGGCACAGAGCCCCGCTACGTATTTTTAGAGCCACCACAGATACGGCGAGCGCGCAGCCCCAAGCAAGCGTGCCCGTCCCCAGCCCCCGCGGAACAGAGCAGGAATACCTGCGTCTCGGTGAGGTTCTTGTCCGGTCCCAGGAGGTAAGGTGTCAGGAACGGCTCCGAGGGCCGCAAGTTGGCGAAGAAGCCGTAGACGCAGAGCACAGCCGTGGGCAAGGCGGCGCCGAAGCCGCGTGGAGCCCGCCTCACGCGGGACCGGAGTCCATCTAGGACGCCCTGCTCTTCCATCCGACGAGCCCCGGGACGGGGCGTCTCGGTATCCGTCTCTCAGCCGCACCGACACCGGCCAGCCGTGGACTGCTCCGTCCGGCGCCGGGCGAGCGCGAATTAAAGCAGCCACCCACGCGGCCTGCCGCCAAAGGCACCTTGACCCTGCGCAGTAGCGTCCGCGCCGCACACGCCCCCCGCCTTCCGGTTTCATTTGGCGCGGGCAAAGCGAGGCGTGACTGCTGCCGAGGGACGCGGCGCCGGGAAGGAGCGGGGGCGTCGGTCTTATTTATTCTTTTATCTGTTTTATCACTGCACTGATAACCCGCATTCCCCCCTCCCTCTTGCAGGGAACGTTTACACGATCCTCCGCTCCGTTTATCATCACAACGATTCTGCGAGGTATGCCGGACGAAGAGCCAGGCACTTGCCCGCAGTGAGCGTCGTAGCCAAGCGGGGCCTAGAGCCTTGGTTTCCCGAACCCCACTCTAACCGCTACACCGACTGGTTTAACTCGATTTACCATGACCCTTTCCGGGAAATTGTATACAGCAGTCCTTCCCTAGCCTGACATCTTTCAGATGTGTTGTACCACAATCTGCAGGATCTGGCTAGGAGATAGGGATACCGGGAATTGTAGTCCAATACATCTAGAGGACACCATGTTGGGGAAAACATGAAGACCAGAAAAGTTTGTTTCCACCCTGCCCACCCTAGTTTTCTGTCTTCCAAATTTGCCTGGCTTTTCCCTGTTTTTGTCCAAACCTTTATGTCTGATACTCTGCCTCTGATATTGGGGTAATATATAGCCTTCAGGATGAGTGGCCATTGTTATCCTTGTTTGCCATGAATCCTCATGAACTATTTTGGAGCAGAAAGGGTTCGCCTTTGGAGTGACTCTGTACATGTTTGGTACATCCTCATACCTTAGCTTGCTAAGATCTCCTGCTTATTTCTCTGTGGCTCTGATTCTACTGTTTTTGTTGGCACTCAGCATGTGAGCTTGCTGTAGAGGAAATGATATTCAGGTTGCAGAAGGCTAATTTAGCCATTCCCTAGGGCTTTGGAGTGAATGTTTTACAGGTTAACTTTTAACATGTTTTGCTTTTAAGATTAGATCCCACCCCACATATCATTTCACAACCTTCTTTTGAAAGGCAACTCCCTTTCAAATGGGGCTTGTTACACTATATGGCACAGGTAGCTGATGATCCATAATTCAAGTCTAAATCCCATTTGGGCATGCAGAACTAGTTGTGCAGCTCTTCAGGCAAAATGTGAGATGATGTTCTTGACATCCACTTTTGTGTGTTTAAATTCAGACCCTGAGACCTATCAGTCCCTCAGTCAGAGCTTAGTGCAAAAAGACCCTAAATCTAGTGTGGTATGGTGGTTAAAGTGTTGGCCTGGGAACCTGAGAGATCTGGCTTCTATTTCCCACTTAGCCATAAGGTTCACTAGGTGACTTTGTGCAAGTCACTTTCAGCCTAACCTAAAAATGGAGTTTATGTAAGCCACCTTGGTTTCCTCAAAACAGAATGAAAGGCAAGATATATATTCAGTCTAACAATAATATAAAAATGAAGTAAATATGTAAACCACTTTGGGTTTCTCACCTGAGGGAAAAGACAGGCCTAAATGCAATATAACAATAACAATTTAGTGCAATCCTAATGCATGTTTAGATGGAAAAGGTCTAACCAATCCTAACATTTTTCAGCCAGTATAGCACTTTTTCTATTTAGACTTGCATAGGATTACATTCTTAGAATTACACAATTAACTGGTTGTTCTATGTTTTCTATTAGTCACATGATTAAGGACAAGTCTTTGCCTTAATTAAGGGTCCAGAGCCTTGATCTTGTGACTGAAGAGATTGGCATGCTTTACAGCTAATGCAGTTGTGATCTGAATGTTTATAAACGAACAAAACCAAGAGGATCTAAAGTGTATTTGTTTCTACCCTTTCCCATGACTGCTGACCCAACATTTGATGGGGGAGGGAGTGTCTGATTGAGGCCATAAGTAAAAATAGCTCCTGTTTTATTATAGATTAGCTATGCTGGATCAATGGTCCATGACTCCAGCACTTCATTCACATGATGGCAAACCAGCTGCCCACTGGATCACTCAAGCAGGATAAGTGCAAGACCTCTGCCTCTCTCAGCTCCTCAGCAACTGGTGTATGCAGGCACACCACCTCTGGTAATGGAAGTACCACACAGCTAACAAGGCTTGTAGCCATTGATAGCTCCCTACTCCATGAATTTGTTCAATCCCCTTTTAAAGCCTTTCAAGCTGATAGCCATCAATACTTCCTGTGGCAGTGAAATCCATAGTTTATGTGCTGGGTGAAGAAGTACTTCTGTTTATCTGTCCTGAACCTTCACCAATCAGCTTCATGGGATGACCCAGGGTTCTAGATTATGAAAGAGAAAGTGTCTCCCTTTCCACTTTCTCCACACCATGCATAACTTTAAACACCTGTCATGCCTCCGCCCCACCCCCTAAGTTTAACTGTCCCAATTGTTGTAATCCTGTACTGCAGAAAATAGGATGCGAAATGGACCTGAGAGAAGGAAGGTATGCCTTGAGTGGTAATAGTGACCCTAAGGAAATGGACTAAGGCTGCACTGAGACAGGGCAAGGAAACAAGGAGGCTGAAGAAAGGTACTCACATGGAGAAGCCACATCAACATTGACAACCTGTACATTCCAATTTGAGAAGAGAATGGGCAATGGGCGTGTCTGAAATGAATAATCATCCTCCAGCACTCTCAGTCCTTAAAAGTTCCTACCCAAAGGACCCAGCAGCTGTTTTTGTATCCTTCCCAGTTTTCACTGCTCTGTCAAGAGTTGAGGTTACAGAGAACTTGAACTCTCTCCCAGCTGGTAGTTTGAAGGAGTTTGTATTTCTACCATCCCATTGATTAAATGTGGATCTCACAGTCTGTTGTATTTTGCATGAAGTTTAAAAGCAAAATAAGGTCAGCTCAAAACTTCCCTGACTGTATCTCTTGGAAGAGAAAACTAGTTTCAGTGATCTCTGCAGGCACTCTTAAAACATTGCCATACCAACTATCACAGGTGAATTTGTTTCAGCCTCATCTGCTGCCACCCAATGACTAACCCATTTCCTCTGAAATTTCAGGCGCGGTCATCCCTGCAGGGACTTGATTCAGCATAAGATCATCTCAGTGTACAAATAAAGGGTTAATAGAAGGAAAACAACATACTTCTGGGTTTTATTTTAGTTGTAGTGTAACAAGCTAGTATAAGATATGCTGCAAAGGATACAATTAGATAGTTTAAAATGCTGGTTTGAGTTAAGACTTTATAAGACATTTCATAGCTCTATATAAACTCTCACTCAGCCATAATGTTATTTAACTTTTCTATGAAATATTATGAATTCCATTTATAGTGGCCTTGACTAGATGAAAATCAGAAAGTAAATACTGAGTTACAGATCTGAGCAATGTTCATTTCCCATTAGTACAATGAGACTATTTCTAGCCAAACTACTACTGCAAGAAAAGTAACTAAACATGGAATCTCTGTACCAATATTCCAGTTTGTTTCAATAGCCCCATGTTGATGACAGGCAGTAGGAGAGTTTGCACAGTAGGACAACCTACACTACCTCTTGAGCCTCCCAATGTGGGTTGTTTGCCCCAGGGCCCATGATGTGCCAAGCAGGTAGTTATGTAAATTATTTTAAAAATATTGACACCTGTGCACAACTGCAAGTAAATACAGTTACAGGTGGCAGTGGGTACCCCTGGGAGGATACTGGGCTGTGGGTGCTTGCTGGAAAAGTTAATCAGCCACCCATTCTGTCCACTGCCTTGCTGAGGGATGCAAGTAAGCAGCTCCCCCCTCCCACATTTTGAAATATTAGATAGCTGTAAAACTGAACTGTCAAATGCTTCAAAATCCCGGGGAGGTGGTTACTAGTGAGAAGGGAGTTAAAATCCCCTTTTCGCAGCAAGATCCCTGGGATTTCTTTAGGGGGTCCATGTCTCCCCGCTGTTCCCTCCATTTTGTTCTTGAGGTGGCAGCATTTAAAATGATGGTGGAGGTGGGGAACCAGGGGATATTGCATTGTCCCTTTAACCTCATGGAATCACCACTGATTTTGCATGTTCTTGGGTTAGCATCACCTCAGGAATGGTGCCAATTTGTAGGGGAAGCTGGAGAGACATGTCCCTCAAGGAGTTCTGTTCCTGTTGCTAAGTTTCATAAGCCTTCCTTTTTATATCCCACTCTAGAGCAAGTTTGGAGGGGGCAATACAATTTCATTTTGGCAGTGACATTGAATACAATACCATTAAACAGCTTACAGTAGCTCTGGAAAATACTTAAGCAGCTTTCATAATTTCAAAAAGAAAATGTTAAGCTGGCATTCAAAGCCACAGCAAGCTGAAAATAGCGTGGGAGAAGACTTTGCCAGCTAGCAACTTGACAACAACAAGAAGAGATTTTGGTTCCTCTTGCCAGGGAGCTTGCCTGCAAGTTGGGCTTGATGCAGGGTGAGTCATATCTGTGTCCAGATGCACAACAACCCTTGGTGGGTCAGACAATCCCAACTAACGCTATGGTTCAGCACAATTTAACCCCCCACTCCAAAAAAAAAGGGCTGGCAAACCCATCACAGGTTCACATGACATACCATAACTTGGAAGCCACAATGGGTTAACATGTTGTGTGAACCCAGTGCAGGACTTCTTCACTGGGCCATGCAGGAAAAAAAGGTCAAAGATTATCCGGTGAGCTCCATAGCTGTGTAGGGATTTGAGCCCCAAACTTTAGCCATTGCACTACACTGAGTGAGCTATGAGGTAGCATTTTTACAGTCATTTCCAAAGTCATGTCCTACTACACATTGCAAGTACTGTAATAACAGAGATAAACTACAGTATCTTTTCCTTGCCGCTGAGAAAAGTTCTTCTAAGTTTCTGATAGTAAAACGATTTTTCAAGATACTGGAATATGAACGGGCAACCACAATGATACCAATTTTATTTTGTTTTTCATATTAGTTATACTTCGTATTGTTCAGAAAATATGTCTTGCTGAGGGAAGAACATGCCAGGAATACTTGCTATGGTACTTTGTAGAAAGTCTTCATTTCAAATGTTACAGGAGAAGGATGGAGCTATAAATATTTCACACTATTCTGGACACCTTGGCCCATTTCTGCTAACTGTACGAAAACAATGTTTAGGATACAGTGTAATTAAGATACTGACTGAAGATTGGACCAAGGAAGAGATAGCAACTAGGGTAGGCAGGCAGGCAAATTACAGACTTTAGAATTGTCCCAGCAGCACAAGTTCTTAAGAAATTATGGTCACAGTGAGTCACTCCAGACAACATTGCCATCAAGTTGTACATTCCCCTAACCGAATTGCTGCTGATATTTCAGTCTTTCATCAGGTAGTCTAATTTTTATTTGCATATTAAGATGGCAAGATATACATTCATTAAGATATACATTAAGGAATGTTACAGTATAAATTCATAGTGAAAATGGCAAATATAGTTGCTTGTTTGTTTTATGTAATCCTATTACAATAATGTCTTTTAGGGATCAGACCTAGCTGGGGAATACTGTGAGTTTCAGGCCTTTTTCCTGTTTAAACATTTACAGAATCATACCCTTAATTGATATTTTCAAAGCTATTTCAAATCTACAACTGAAAGTGCCTTAGATATGTACAACATCCTCAAGCTAACAAGAGTTTTATCTGATACTTGTTTTGTTTTTCTTGTAAAACTGAGTTGGTTAGAACAAGTTTAAAAGTGTGGGGCTTCTTGATTCAGCAAGTTTTCTCTCCAGTCCCTAATGAACATCACAGCCAAAGAGTTCTACACGAAGTGCAATACTCTGATTCCATGTTTTAGGAATGACACGAATGAACCCAGAAACTATGGGTGGTTTGAAGTAGTTTTTCACCTGCCCATGACTGTTGATATTTGCTGTAAAGACCTGAAAATAAATACATTAAGAATGAATTAGTGGGAATCCCAAATGACTATTTTAAATGCAAATGCCTAAGAACTCCCAACTGTTCATCATTAGGAGAAAGACTGGACCACTCTGATTTCTGCAATGTTTAAATAAACCAATGGAGTTGTGTCATGCTATCAGCTCATTAATTCATCCTTTGAGCACAGTATTCTTAACTGATGATGGCTCTCAAAGTTTCTTAGAGATCTTTCCCTAGCCCTGATTCCCAAAGCCAGCATGTCCCACTGCCACAGCCACTACACTTTTCTCTTTCTTCTGGATTGACAAGGGGGCACCTGATAACCAAAATTGTTCATAAATCTTCACTTGGCCAGGTTGAAATTGCACATAGTGATAAAGTGTGGAACCTCTAGCCTCAAGGTTGCACCAAGGCCCAGTTAATTGGGCTGAGTATCTCAGTTACATTCCTGTAGAAACTCATATCCCACTCTGGGCTTGAGAAATTTGTTTCAGCCAGACAGTAAATTCTGATGAGCCTTCTTATGGTGGCCAGGGATTTCGGCATAAAAGCAGGGAAGCTACAGTGCCAAGCAACCTTTTGTCCCTTTCTGCACTGTTGGCAAACTAGAGAAATTCTCCTTCACATTTTATGCAAAACACTTTGATAGATTTAATTCAAGTATTCTAAAATTCATTGGTAAGTATTGCTAAAATTCAATGATCCCCATACTTCTGTATGAATTCTAGATGCTTAATGAAGCAAAGTAATTAGACCACATAGTGTCTGCCACTGTTTCCCACCTGGCAGATCAAGACTTGTTCAGGGGGACTTCAATGGTACAGGAGGATAGTCAACATTTGAAGGAATCGTGTTTCTGAAGTTGAACGAAAACCATGAATGAGGGAAGCAGGGAACTGGTACCTTTTCCGAGGACTTTGAGTCATCCATGTAAGACTTCCATTCTGAACCATCATCACTGTAAAGGATGGAAAACGTTTTCACAAACATTTCAGTAGTCATCGATTTAGCTCCTTGTGTTGCAATGCCTGTTATCTTCTTAGGTTGAAGGAGATCAATCTGTAGCCACTGGTGCTGGTTGTTTGACTGCAGAATTAGTAAGTGTAATACTTAATATGCCACTTCTAAACTGATGATCTGGTAAATATCCAAAAACATGCATATCATCCACTTCTAGAAAAGACTACAGGAAGACAGAACAAAGTATGGGCACTTTAGAATGGCCACAAGTTGACCTTTTAATTTTAGAATTGTCACACACTGAGGGAGAGAGGAACGGAGGAAACATGAAGCTGGGTTGAGCAATGGGAGAAAATAAAAACATAATTCAAACTTTTCCAAAGTTCAAGTTGTTATATGCAAGTAATAAAAAGGACAGAAAACATTTTACATTCTAATCTCAAACAGAAACCAGAGGTAAAGAACGTGCAGCCCTCCAGATGTGATTGGATTGCACCTCTCATCAGACCTAGCCAGTAGAGTCAGTAGTGAAGAATAAGACATGTAGTTAACCACATCTGGATGTGCACATACTAAGGCGAGCTACGTAACTTGGGTGCCACCACTGAAAAGGCCTTTCTCATTAGCCTCTCAAGGCAGGAACACCTGAAGAAGGGCCTCCAATGCAGATCTTAGCAACTGGACAGGTCCCTGATCTAAAACACCTTAACTTAGAAATGAAATATAATGTATATAGGCGCTGCTGTATGTATAGCATTTTAGCATGCATGCCTAAGAATGTCTATGTGTATACTTTAAATGAAAAGAGTGAATACAGAAAACAAGTGTTTGAAACAGCTTGCAGGAATACTCATCAGAGAGCCAGGATTGGCTGCTGCTCACTCCTGTGCATACAATTGGTGGCAAATCTGGTTTGCTGACATGTAGTTTGTGAAGTGGCACTAATACAGAGAAAATCAGGCACAATTACTAATAGAAATAAAAAAGTCAAATGGTACATAACCAACATTAAGGGCACAGTCCTGTACATATATAGATAGAAATATGCCCTGGGAACTCATGCATTCCGTAGCTACGTAGCATGGGGAATAGTAGAATTATAGGATCTTTTTCTCCCTAAACATGCAAAGGATTGTGCCCTTAGCGGCTGTTCTCATTTGCTGTGGAGCAGATCTACTGGCTTCAGTATAAGCTACAGAATTGTTTCTATTATATTTACAACTGGCAACACTGTCTTCTCCCGCCTGTCTTTTACATTATTTCATTTATTTTTTACTCTTCTTTTAATGTGTGGATTCGATTCTAAACTGTCCTGAGCAGTTTAATTTTAAACATTACATGGTATAATGGAGCAAGAATACTTTAAATATATACATAAATAGCTGCAGAAAGTTGAAATCTGCAGCTTTGTTTTTACCTTTGCTTGCCAGGCATTTGTCTGCCCTCTAAGGTTCAGACGGGCAAGAGACGGCTTCCAGGAACTCCACCAAGTCCTCTTGAAGGAAGACGCTGTAATCTGTTCATTTGTGATAGCCCCCGTTTCCATGCCCAGTGGCACAAAGCATGCTGTGATGAAAACATTAGCACATCCTTGTTACACGGTTTGCAGAACAGGTACCAGACTGGAAGTCACATTTGATTGATGATCTGGTTAAATAATTTTTATCTCTTTTCCTAGTGTTTCCCTCTCTCCTTTTTATTCATAAGAAAGCATGTAGGACCATAATTAAGAACAGAATAGTTATGAATGGTTAAATGTGATTCAGATTTCCCCCTTCCAACCACTTTCTTTTCTAAACTTTCTCTTCCTGCCCTAATGAGGGGTCTAAAAGAAAATTCACACACCTCAATTGATTCCTTCACTAAAGTGCCTGTTTTAGGTACTTTTTAAATTTTTTGTTGCTGTTATTATGCGCTGTCTACAACTTAGGTGACCCTATGAAAGAAAACCCTCCAAAATATCCTGTCCATGACAGTCCTGCTCAGTTCCTGCAAACTTCCTCATATTTGGGGTCTTCCTTTTTTTTCTTCTACCTTCAACTTCACTAGCATGGTCATCTTCTCTAGAGAGTTTTGCCTTCTCATAATGTAACCAAAGAATGACAGCCTCAGTTTTGACATTTTTCCTTCAAAACTCTGGCTTGATTTGTTCTAGGACTCTCTGGTTCATCTTTCTGCCAGTCGGTATTCTCAAAGCTCTGCTGCAGCACCATGTTTCAAACACATCACTTTTCTTCCTGTTGGGCTTTCTTCACTGTCAAGCTTTCACACTCATGGATTGTGGTTGGGAATACAAAGGTATGGATGATCTTGGCCTTATCTCCAGTGAGAACATCCTTACACTTGATGTTCTTCTCTAGTTCGTTCATTGCTCCCTTCCAAATCTCAGTCTTTGAATTTCTTGGCTACAGTCTTCATCTGAATTGATGACTGAACTGAGGTATGCAAAATCTTTCACCATTTCAATTACTTAATTTTCAACAGTAAAAATTTATAATTCTTTTGTAATGATTTTTGTTTTCTTAATATTCAGCTGCTGTCCTGCTTTTGTACTTTCTTGTTTCACTTTCATTAGGAGTTGTTTCAATTCATTGCCACTTTCTGCAAGTAGCATGGTATCATTGGCATATTTTAAATTACTCATGTGTTTTCCACTAATTTTCACTCCTTTCCTGAATCCTAATCCAACTTTATATACTCTGCATATAGATTGAACAGATAGAGAGATAAAATGCAGTCTTGTCTGACATCTTTGCCTAGGAGAAACCAACCCATTTCTTCATATTCTGTCCCAACAGGAGCTTCTTGTCCATGATACAGGTTACTCATCAGGACAATCTAGTGCCGAGGCACACCCATTGCTTGCAGGATCACCCATAGCTTCTTATGATCCACACAGTCCAAGGCTTTGCTGTAGTCGATAAAACACAGACCAATCTGCTTCTGAAATTCTTTGATGCATCTATTTGCGATAAGATCTCTAGTGCCTCTCCTTTTTCGGAATCCAGGTTGAATGTCAGGCATTTCTTGCTCCATAAAGGGTAATATTCTTTGCTGCAACACTTTGAGCATCACTTTGCTTGCTTGGAAAATTAGTGCAATGATCCTTTGGTTGCTGCACTCATTTATATCTCCTTTATTGGGGAGTGGAATGTCTATTTAATGTTCCAGTCTGTGGGCCAGTGTTTTGTTTTCCATATTTGTATCTCACCTTTTTCCTGAATGGAATTAAAGCCAGTTTACATAATCCTCTTCCTCTTCATGACAACATCCCTTTGAGGTAGGTTAGCTTGAGTATCCATTGCTGGACCAAAGTCACCTAGTGAACTTCATGGCCAAGTGGAGACTAGAGCCCAGATCTCCTGAGTCCCAGTTCAGCACTAACTGTTATGGAATACTGTCTGCAAGGGCAAACTTTAAACCTCCTAATCTGTGTGTCATGGTCTGGGTCTGATTTTGGACTTTCATATTTACTTGCAAGAAAAAGAAGATAAACTGTACACTGCATATTTAAGCTATATGTAGTCTAGCCCTGATTCTTTCTGTATACCGAAACTGAATATTCATTTATGTAAAATATTTTGACATTCAGAATGAGCATTTTCTGCCTGTATGATTGACAGGAAACAAGTGCCATGTGTTCTCAAATCTTACCCTCTGTTTCACAACCCAGGAGTTCCATGCGAAGGGTAGCCCTGTTAAAAAACTTGGTAGGATACACCCTAATGTATCTAGCAGCTATCGGAGGATCAATCTGATTTTCTTTTATTCCATGAGCATCTGAATTACCTGCAAAAGGCTAAGGAAAAAGATTACAAATACTAAACAATTACCTAATGATCATTCATTTTATCATAAGTATAAACTTCCAAATAAGTATCTCACTTTTTACTATGTAATTGCTCATATTGAAAATTGGCCTTAGGCAATTTTAGTCATAGGCAACTAATGACAGCAGCGCTTAGATGGGCATGTCCAGCAAAGCGGTGGTTGTTGTTATGTGCCATCAAGTTGTCTGTGACGTATGGTGACCCTATGAATGAAAGCCCTCCAAAATGTCCTGTCCATGAAAGGAGCTGTCTAGGTCTTCCAAATTCAAGACTGTGGATTCCTTTAATCCACCTCACATTTGGTCTTCCTTTTCGTCTTCTCCCTTTGACTTTCCCTAACATTATTGCCTTCTCCAGCGTGTCATGGCTTCTCATGATATGTCCAATGTATGACAGTCCCGGTTTTGTCATTTTGCTTCTAGGGAAAGCTCTGGATTAATTTGATCTATGACCCACTTGTTTGTCTTTCAGTCAGTTCAGGAATTTGTGAAGTTCTCTCCCATCACCATGTTTCAAGTGCATACATTTCCTTCAGCAAAGGATGCACCCATTCAATTCAATGGGGCCCTGATGAGTATTGCAATATGAACAGGGATGTATGGACAAATGTTTGTACTCTAGATATGGAAAGTTGCTTTCACATGAAGATCTCCCCTGCTACTTCACAGCATGCATGTTTAAAGTGTATGCTTACAGAATGATAAGCCCTCATCTAGGGACCAAACAGATCAATTAATGGATTAATCTTTGTAAACAACCCAGAGAGCTTTGGTTGGCAAGCAGTACAGAATTGCAATAAATGAATGGCATCGTTATCTGTTTATGTCACCCCTTAGAAAGATTTGAATGCCTATTAATATAGGAAGTGAGGTATCCTAGCGTTTTCCTGGGAAGTTGGACAGGAATGTCAATAACTGTGTTAGGACACTACCTTCCTTCAAAGTTAATGTCCACACAGTTTAAGAGACTCTAGTTGGATCCATGTGTGCACCGCATAAAGTCACACATAATGAAACATGACAATCTTCTCTATAATTGCTGCTTCTTACAGCTGCTAGATGACTGTTTTTTGCATGATTGCACAGATAGCTCAAAAAGTAAGGTTTGGGGAAGAGACATTTCAGACATTCTGAAAAATTTCAGCTGCCCATGCTGAAAATTTCTTTTTCTCACCTATCAGTTAGCTATGTTCCAGTTTCCCCAGCTCTGCTTCCTATCTGTTTTCTTCCAGTTTTCCCACTTGTTTTTTTCCCCTGAGATCACCTACACCAAGAGATTCCCTTTCTAAATAAAAACAATTTAAAATGAGATTTTCAGAATAGTAAATACTGCAAAAATTAATGCACATATTCCATAGTTGCATGGTATAGTCCACATTTGGCTATAAGGACTGTGTGAAACCCTATGCTTGCAAGATTTCTCTCTCTGTCACTCCCTTTGAAATATCCCGTAGACAAAACTATCTTCCCATCTACTTTCTTTTAATAAGAAAACAAAGACAAGTGTTCACTCAAACATGATGATACATATGTACAAACATACCTTGTATGCCCCCGTGTAGTTCCCTTTAAAAGTGATCCATTTTGTCCCATCTTTGCTGTAGCTCACAAAATATTCCTTTGTATACAGGAATCTCATTAGTTGCTTGGCTCCCTGGGTCTGAATACCTGTGATTAGAACTTGCTTTTGCAGGTCAACCTATGCAACCACAAAATATTCAATTCATATAAGGTCACGCTTTATTCATTATTGAAAGGATATTCTCTACCATATTTTGGAGACAGCCTTGCTGTGACTTTGCACATCCTGATGTGAAAACCCGTAAGATATACGTTATCTGTATGTTGTGGCTGCAATTGTGCCAGCCTTTTGACCCAGTTTTAAAAACAGAACAAGTGGGTGTTGGGTAGAACAAGAGGGCAAAGGGGAGGGGAAATAATATAGAATGTTAACCCAGTGTTAACACAACAAAGTAGTAAGCACACAGGTAACACCAGATTCATAGCAACTTTGACAGAGTCCTTTTTGCTTTCTTCTTTTGCCTTGGAATGCTTTGAGATGATACCGATTTTTCCTGGAGGTTTAGATCAGACATAGGCAACCTTTTTGAGCAGTGGGCATATTCAGTGAGTTGAGGAACTGTCCCAGGCACCACCATAATAAGGCTGTCACTGAAGGCACGGCAAAGAAGAAATATGTCCAAAGTACTGCATATAAGGTAGAGGTGATAGCTAAACATATTAAACTACTCTTTTTAACCCACAGTTATCAACACCACAGAAACCTATTTCAGTTTTCTGTTCCTTTTTAATTAATTGTACCTGGATCCATGGATGATTATTTTTCTTCTCAATACTCCAAGCATTGTACTTTCCAGCATTATTTAATCTTGCCAATTTAGGCTCCCAGTATCCTGGATAAGAGCAAAAATAAGACTTATTTTAAATCATTAAACTGAAAATGTTGAGGAATTTTGGCACACTTGAAAATAAGAACTTGACGCAGACTTGTCTTTCATGGTAGGAACAATGGACAAAACATGCTCATGGTGAATGAAAGGCAGAAACACTTTTGAGTGCAATCCACAACAAGTTAAAGTAAGCATGTTACATTCATATTGCATGCCTAGTCATTCATATAAGTTACTTTTTTGCTCTTTCAGTTTTGGTACTATAAAAGGGTGCTTCTGCCGCCATGCAAAGATGAAAGCAAAACTATTAGGTCACTATTCGTACATTCTGCAAGGAGTGGGTCGCACACTGTGCAGTGGATCCAGCAGTAGAGGATAGAATTTAACCTGCTACTTTCCAGGTTATGAGACCTATTCAACATCATGCTATACATTCTTTAACTATGAAATTCAACTTACCTATGTGATCTGAAGCACTGATTTGTGAGTCTTGTATAATGCCATTTGCCAGGCCCAAAGGTAACCTGCACTCTGTAAAGGGAGATCAAATGTTTCATGAGCTGCTCCTGAATTGCAATCCCAGGCACAATGGGACTCCTGGGCACCAGTGTGTCCTCAGTGATCTTGCTTGGTGCTCCCTGGCTCCCTACTCATCCTGATTTTTTAAATTTAATAGTGTTAATTTTTAAAAAATGACTAGGAGGCTGGGTAACTGCAAAGCCAGGAGTTGCCTTCAAATGGCACATTTACTTGTGTTCAAAAGAATGGTTGTGTATTCAAAAATCCCTCAGCCCCACTTTTGCCTTTTCTTTGGGCTCCTGGACAAGTTACTTTTCTTTTAGCCCCACCACTTCACCTTCTGTGAAATGTATGTTTTATGACCTGCCGTGCCCCTCAAGGCAGCTGTTTAATGAGAGAGCAAGTTCCTCATCTAGGCAACCATTTTGTAAGAGCACCAGTGAGACTCAACCCTCTAAATGTGACTCAACTCGCAATTCCTGCTCGACATATACCGCACTGAGGAAACAGATGGCAGCAGAACAGCTGCTGCATCTTATGCATACCCAACCCATGAAAGGAAGAGAGAAAAGACAAACTCTGAACATCCAGATATTTGTAAAAATTGGAGATATCCCTCCAATTTCCTTGGAAGCTCTACCAGTGCATGCCAATCAGGGGCTGCCCCAGTAACAATGCCCATGCATCCCCTCTACAGAGGAACACAGTGAACTCATGAAATTTCCACAGCATGCACCTCTGTATTCCAACCATGCAGTGAAGTTTGCATGCCTTTCAAGTTCAGTATAATTACACTGAATTACCTTTATCTATAACAGTAAAGGACGCCTGCATTCCTGCTTCTTCATATTCACTGACTTCAGTTTCTAAAAGCCACACACCAGCTTTTGATGGTGTCATTTCAACAGTAGTGAATGAACCTTGAAAACAAGAAATCATATGCATTTGGTGGTGCTTTGTTTTTACATGTTTTGAACTGCATGAGATTGATGAATGTGGTCATACAGTGTAAGTGAGCAGTAAGGTAAGCCATGGCTTATTCTACCTGTTAGAATTAGATTCAGGTGTAAGATGGAGCAAAATGATACTTAGTATGAGAAGAATGTTTCAGTGTAGAAGTTGCAGTATTATTGCCAGCAAGAAATCCTGCTTTGAAAACACATTGCATGTCTCTGTGAACACTTGCTTCCCAGCATCTGGTGGTTTGTCTACTAAAGTTAAGCAATGCCAAGAATTTATATCTTTCATTATCATCTACTACTGCAATGATTGCACCATCAGTGGGCAAAGCACTTTCTGTAGTCTGATTAGCAAAGCATTTTTTAATTGAACAGGTCCCTGCCTTCTAAGTGCTTAGCATCTAGAATCAAGCAATATAGAAGCCAACAACAGGTGCAAAGGGAGAGATATGCATGGGGAAGGAGAATATGAACAAATTCAGTTACTGTTGGGAATCAGAAATAAGGGGTTAGACCACAAGCCTTGCAAAAATGGCTTCATGGTGAACTTATATGAAGACTAAGTGATAGTTTGGCCACTTACACATTGCCAAAGAAAGGAGTGCATCACCAAAGAAGAGAGGAAAAAAGGGCATCAATTTTGTGTAAAATGTACGTGTGGTAATGTATGTACGTAGATCTTAATTTAGAAATAATTGCCATAATTTGACTAGAAATATAATACAGTCTTCTCTCTTAATGAGAAATGTAACAGGGAGTCCTAAGTGGCTGTTTAGCCTGCTGCCCAGAGGCTAAGTGTTGATGATTCTTTGACTTTAAGCCAGACTCGGACTGAGCAACCCATCTAATAGAGAACACCTTCCATCAGAGGCTTGTTCTCTGCCAGCACTCCAAATTAAAGAACTGGCTTCTGTAAAGTAGGTCACTGGGGCACCCTAATGAGAGGTGGGGCCATGAGGATATTCAGGAAAGGAGTCTTGTGCACAGCTACACATTAGGCAGAACGAGGCGATCACCTCAGAAGGATGATTTTAGGGGTTACAGAAGGGAAACAATTTGTTATTTTCAACAAGAGCAATTCTATGGTCCCTAGACAGCCTCTGAAGGGCCAGAGACTGTTTGGAGTCCTTCCTGCAGTACTCCAGCCTCAGAAGGAAGAGCCAGAGAATAAACCCTCTTAACTTCACAATCAGTGTGGAAAAAACCTGCTGAGAGCTATCCTGAGGCCTCTGCATGCTCCTTTGCCTCCTCTTTGAAATGTCTTTGCTAGATGAGCAACTACGAGTTCAATAAGTAAGAAGGAAGTTAGCTAATACATCTTAGAAACAGAGTGCAAGCCGAATTCATTCTGTTGTAATAATTTCCCAATCATTTACCACAGAAGTCTCCTTGATGGAGCCAGTTCATGGCCAGGGAACCTCTGTCACTTGAGGTTCAGGCAGCCTCAGTGGGAGAGAGTAGCTTTTACCAGCTTCAGCGGGTGACACAGCTGTATGTCTCTCTGGACATGAATAGTCTGGTTTCAGTAATCTGCTGATAACCTCCAAATTAGATCACTGCAATGTACTCTATGGAGGGCTGTCCCTGAAAACTATTCAGAGGCTGCAAAATATGGCAGCCAGACTAATAGGTAGGACCAGAAGGTCTGGATAATTCTGGCCCTCTTGCACTGGCTGCATCTATGCTTCCCTGCCCAATTGAAGTTTTTATCCTATAATGCCTGGTTTTAACCCATCAAGCCTTACTTGGCTTGGCACCGTAATACCTGCTTCTCCCAACTTGAATTTAGGATCGCAACAGGGAAGAGGCTCTGATTATGGAGTAATCCACTGAGGCCTGCCTGGTGCTGGCTCTAGTATCATTTTGGTGCCAGATTAAAATAGCACCCTTCTCATAGGCGTTTTCCAGGTCTAGGTTTATATTTAAAATGCTTTAGCTGCAAAATTTAGCTGTTAAGTTTGTATACTGGAAATGTTGTGCCATTTTTATTTTATTGTGGTTAATGTTTTTATGCTAGTCATGCCAGCCACATGACCACAGAAGTGTCCTCGGACAACGTGCCCTCTTCAGCTTGTAACAGAAATGAGAACTGCCCCTAGAGTTGGACAAAACTAGCCTGCATGTACGAGGGACACTTTTACCTTTTGCTTAATGTTTTTATGAACAAATTTGAACCACCCAGAGATATCAGTTGGCTGAGAAATGTCATTAAATAAATGAATACATTTTATTTTTTTCAAGATGTTCTCATGAAAAGCCCAACATGCCTTGGAATTATACAAATGATCATTTGTCAGAAATATAGTCACTATACACTATTTATATATAGTATACAGAAGCACTGTGGTTTAGTAGTTGGCATGTTGGACTGGGAATCAGAAATTTTTGGCTCTAGCTCCTGCCTGGCCATGAAGCACAGGGGGTGACTTTGGGCCAGTTGGTGACTTGCAGTCTCACCTATCTCACAGAGTTGTTGTAAAGATAAAATGGAGATGAGGACTGTGTAAGCTGCCTTGGGTTTCTTGCAAGAAGAAACATTGTAGAATGCAAATTGAAGAATACATAACTTAGAGGATGGGATGGGGTGGGGGTAGATCTAGCTGACTGAAGTCATTTTAGCATTACAGAGAGCATTTACTTTTCTGACACCAATACATGGATCTGATTCTCTTTACCAGAAAGCAGAGGGTAGACACCAAGTTGATGATCTTCCATTCCCTGTTCTGTGAATGTCTGACCATGGAAATTAATGACATGAATGTCTTGGGGGCCACCCATGTTCAGCAAATGCCACTGGACCACCTCATCCGTATACATGAGCAAACCCTGCAACTGGTATTGGATCCCATTAATCGCTGAAAAAAAAAAATGTGAACATAGATTAAAGGGACTGCAGGCATGTCCTTTGGCAGGTAAAAGAATTTTTAAAATAAGACATGTTGGATCAGGCCAAGGGTCCATCTGCTTCCATAGTGGCCAACTGGCTGCCCTTGGGAAACCCACAACCAGGACATGAGTGCAACAGCCTCTCCTGTCATATTTCCCAGCAATGGTTGTACATTGGCATACAGCTTCTAATATCAGAGGCACCATACGGCCATCAGGACTAGTAGCACTGATTGTCTTCTCCTTTGGGAATTTGTCCACTCCCCTATTAAAGCTGTCCAAGTTTGTGGTCATCACCACATAAAGCTTCACTGAAATTTCTAGAACTGCTTTGTGTCTGCAAATGTTGAACATTCAGCAAATGCCCCACCCTATCAATTTGTCTTTAAAGTTATAGTTATCTGTCACAACTAACACCCTTTAGATGAAGGGAAACTTCAATACCAGGAAATTTATGTTGCTGTAGGACTATGGAGGATTTCTTAGCATGGGTCCTTTTGATGTGTTCATCAAAATACCAGCTTTTTTCTTCATTAAAGGTCATAAAAAGCAGGACAAATGCTCTCACGTTTTTCAGCATGTTATACTCATCAAGCATCCCTTTTTGACAGATCAAAATTGGCCCAATCAAGCCAGAGTTAATGTCTCTTTCCTGCAAAATAATTAATGGCAGAATGAAGCCCCTAAATACAGCCCCTCATATAAAAAGATCTCTAATCTTAAAAGTGATTATTCAGAAATATTAGTCTGAATCATTTTGATACAGATACATTAACATGCTAATTCATGACAATCCCCCTCCCCATTTCATACACAGGGAATATCAAATCCAAGATACTGCAGGATCCCTTTATCCACTGGGACAGTTTCCAAGCCCCCCAGGGGATGCTTGAAACCATGGATAATTGTGAACACTATATAGTGTATATATACATTCCTTTTTCACAATTTCATAGATAGAGGATTCATTCTTACCATGCAACCTCAGCATATGATTTTTTTTCTTTATCTATTGAGAATTTTCACTTAAAGGAAGCACTTTACACCTTTAAGTCACCTTACAACTTCTCTTTCCAACAGAGGTCAACCAACCCTAAGTGAAAACATGGTAACTGAGCCAGTGGTTATGGGGATCCTGCTGTATATTAAAATGCATATTAAACTGGAAGACAAATTAGCCAGCACATTCTTCATGTAAGGCTGAAAGAATGTACTTCGACTTTCACTGAGAAATCGTCACAGGATTACTTTATCATCTTCATTCTGTATCAGGTTTATCTTACCGCGTTTACAGCTGAGTAATAGGCCCAAGATCTACATGCTCTCTTATCTTGGACAGGCCCTGATCGTTTTGAGGCATACCAAACATATGTATAGGTTTCATTGGGCATGATGGCATCATCTTTTTTGAACAATTCTGGAGACATATCATCATAGCTTCTTCCCTCTGAAGATTTCTCATAGTAAAGCCCATGGGCATGGAGAGAATATGGTCTGGAGGCCAGATTTTTAAAATAAACCTAGAAAGTCAAATGCACAGTGATTAACAGAGATGGAGGTAAACATCACCCCAAGCTGCTTTCAAACTTTGTGGTGTGCTAGCTTTGTTGGATTGTGTTGCAGCCTAAGTCACATGCTAGCAAAGTTATGCTCAAAATCCTACAGGCTAGGCTCCTGCAGTATGTGGACCAAGAAGTACAGGCAGAGTTTCAAAGAAATTAAAAGACACTTGCTCCTTGGGAGGAAAGCTATGGCAAATCTAGACAGCATACTAAAAAGCAGAGCCATCACCCTGCCAACAAAAGTGCTTATAGTCAAGGCTATGGTTTTCCCAGTTGCAATGTATGGCTGTGAAAGCTGGACCATAAGGAAGGCAGAGTGCCGAAGAATTGAGGCCTTTGAATTATGGTGCTGGAGGAGACTCCTGTGAGTCCCTTGGACTGCAAGGTGATCAAACCAGTCAGTCCTAGAGGAGATCAACCCTGACTGCTCTTTAGAAGGCCAGATACTGAAGATGAAACTCAAATACTTTGGCTACCTAATGAGAAGGAAGGACTCACTGGAGCGGACTCTAATGCTGGGAACAACTGACTGCAAAAGAAGAAGGGGATGGCAGAGGATCAGGTGGCTAGATGGGGTCACTGAAGCAGTTGGTGTGAGTTTAGGTGGACTTCAGGGATGGTGGAGGACAGGAAGGCCTGGAGGAATGTTGTCCATGGGGTAGTGATGGGTCAGCTAATCCTCCTCCTCCTAATCATCATCTGTCCACTACTGGGGAGGTCAGGATACAAACAGTTCAGGAGAGAAAGTTTAATCCTCTCTTGCCAGTATGCCATTCTAATCCCAATCAGAATCAGAGCCATATGCACTTGTATTAGAAAAAGTGAACCATCTGTTACATAATATGTGACTAGCATAGTTTGGCTCTTAGTACTTACTACATCCATGATACTAAACAGAGTTGCTTAATAAAAATTCCCTTCATTTCTGAGCCCGTGTCGGACACCCTCACAAATTAGTCCTACAGCAATACTATAGACTGTGAACTGTCTAAGTGTCATTAGTGTTACTGAAATTTCCTTCATCCCTATTTCACACATTGAAATGTTGGATAATCAAGACAGACAAGTGGGGAGAAGTAACTTCTTTCTTTCTTTCCTTCCTTCCTTCCTTCCTTCCTTCCTTCCTTCCTGCCTGCCTGCCTGCCTGCCTGCCTGCAGTGGAAACTCTTATAGGAGATGGAAGTTTGGGAAGTATCCATGTGATATACTTCAAAGTAACCTGCATTAATTTGAGGCTTCTGCAAGTTTGTTTCATTCATACAAAAAGAAACTTAAAAAGGGGAAGCAACCAATGCAAATTGGGTGTGCTCAATGGCCATGAAATCCTGACTGATTGACTGTTTGCAGGAAAACAGGGGGAAACTGAAGTGGGACAGGGAAATAGAATAGAATACCAAAAAAGGAGGACTTTATGCTGCAATATTTTGTGCAGGTACCACTTGCCTAAATATTTGTTTCCATTCTTGGATTAAACCACAAGTTACCAACCACTTTTTAAAGATACTCATTATTATATTCTTCATACTCAACCCAAAATGAAACCCACTCTGCATGTGACATTTTTCATTTGTGTAGTCATTCTTAAAAACAAAACCAAAACAACAACAACCACCTGCTCCCTCAAAGATTCACTTACTGGAAACGTGCACTTGCCTGGATGACGTCAGCCTCCTCAGCTCTAATGACAGGACCAAGGATGCCAAGGTGCTCTTCATATTCCCCTCTACTGACAGGTGTCTTGAAAGTTCCATCCACATAACTTCGGAAAATCGCTTTTTTGTACACTGTCCTGGCTGAAGCACTTTTCTTGGTACTGAGGACATGGAAGCATGGTGGGGTGGGGGAAATTGTGAATTAAAACCACAACATTTTTATGGGTAATTTTTTACTATTGAGAAGTACTTGGAGATTTAGCCATAGAAATGAATCTTGGACCAAAGATATGTATCTAGTTAGTTGTCTGACATTGTACTGCGTCCTGCTGAGATCCAGACGATATTGTAGGTGCACCCAGTATCATTTTTAATTTTTATTCTTCTTAGAAAAGCAGACTCCTGTGCCATTAAAAGTCTTCTGAATGTCCTCCTGTTTCAAATGTAGTATTGCATACATGTAACAGAGGAGGCTTTTTTTTAACAAGCACAGACTTAAAGCCAGACAGGACATGCATAAATATTTGTGCTTTTTTATTTCTTATATTTATATCCCATTTTTTCCTACAAGTAACCCAAGGTGGCTTACATAAGCCTCCTATTTTCCATTTTATACTCATAACAACCCTTTGAGGTAGGCTAGGCCATGACTGACCCAAAGTCAACCAGTGAATTTAATGGCCAACTTGAAGACTAGAACATAGATTTCCCAAGTCCCAGCAGAACCCTTACTCAAACTCAAAGACTATAAAGAATTTTACTGAGAATTTCTAAACTTTCAGAAATATGTGTAGAAGGAACAGTGCCAGTCCACTGCCATTGCCACGAGCGGCTATTGCTCCTCATCTGCTTTCTCATTATTGCTATCGCTTCACTGCTTGGCAGGCGAAGTGCCAGGGAGCAAGTGGGAACAGGTGTCTACTGACTCACCTTCTCACCACCATTGTCTGGGCCACAGCAAGAAGCAGGGGAGCAAGCCGGATGCAGTGGCAGAAGGGAACAAGGGCAGTGGCTTGGGCGTAGACCTCTGCCAGGTGCCCAGTCCTGCCTGTCCTTGATGTCCGCCTTGAGCGGACATCTTGGTCTCTATTTATTTCCTTAAGAAAGTCAAGTGGGCATGAAGTCAGGATTTCTCTTATTTGCCATTGCTCCAGGCTTGATCCAATACTCTTGAACTTGCTATTCTTCCTGTCTCAGCATCTGAACGATACAGTTCCTCCTTCCTAGCTCAAGCCTTAATGTCCTTTAAACTAAATTAAAAGCCCATGAATAGAGTCTAAGTTATTTCTAAGCATCTGAGTGTACTGCATGACGCCAGTAACATGGAAACAAATTGTCATCAATAATAATGATAAGTCAAACCTTTTAGTCGATGGTACATAGTCCCACAAAACTTCTTCAGCCGCAATGAAGTATCTTCTTAGGTTTCCTGTGTTAGCAGTACGTAGGTACCGACCAGCTATAGCTTCAGGGTTCCGCATTGATTGAGTGTCAAGTCGGGGATCCATGGAATATGGGTCATCATAGCGTACTTTCAGATATTCAAATGAACCACTGCTACTCTGCTCATAGTCTGTGTCGTCTATTTCATATTCATGATAGTCTCCATTTCCAACTGGAAGACCTATTCTGACCATTGGTTTAAACTGGTTTTGTGCCACAGTGTAAGTAGCCTCTTTCAGGACTGTGTGGTTGGCTTTAATGGAGGATTGGGTGTTGTTGAGTTGTCCAGGGGGCACTACAGATTTGGAGCTTCTTGGTCCTAAGAAGTTACCGGGATTTTTTTTCTTTCGTCGGGCTGTCAGGAAAGTTCCAAATGATCTAACAGCACACCTCTCATTTCCCTTTCCGTACTTGTTGCTTTTTTCTGGTTGGTCTAATTCAACATAGGAGCCATTTTTTGCTGATCCTTCCTTATTAAGGATTGTGGCTTTTTCTAAAGGCTCGGTGGAATTGCTGGAGCTGTTCTGAAATTTATTGTCTGCATTCTTCATAAGATCTGTTTGTGAATTGTAGTTCTTTTTCCCAGAGGCAACATTCAATTTATAATCTTTCCTTCTGGGGGTACATTTCTGTTTCTGATGTGGTGAGTTTTTCAAACTCTTAGCAGTCTTTGGACTGACAGTAGAAATGAAGCTGTCTAACACACTATCTAAAGACAAATTCCCATACTGCTGAACATTTGATAGCTCCAGTTTATGAGTTTGTAGTGGTTCTGAACTGTGGTTTTTCATTGTTTCTCCCACAGCCAAAGTTAAATTAGTTGAAGGTATAGGAGATTCAGTATTTGCTTTCTCTTTATCTACTTCATAAGAGTATGAAAAGTTATCATAATCTATGTCATATAAATTATCATTTTCTGCAGTGGGAACAGCAAGAAATGGACTATATGAAGTGACATTGTCTAAAGCAGAAAGATTTCTCTTTTGTTGTACATAAAGCAGCAAAGCCTGCATTTCTTTAAGGGCATGCAAGACGGCTAGTGTCAGAACTTGCTTTTCACTCTTTCCATCCATTTCAACTGCACTTTCTTCTTGCTTCTTCACTGAAGAGGTTACTGCAAAAGTGAGCTTGGAGCTGTTCTCTCCATCAACCAATAATTCTGCATCTTCATTGTGGACTCCCTTATCCATTCTCAAATGTGTGGCTTGGAGTGTTTGACTATAAGTCTCTGAAGTCTGAGTAGCATTCACTTCATGGTCACTTTGGCCTTGCTCAGATGACAAGGGGCTAACTGACCCAGGAAAATCTGAAAGCAAAATCTCTCCTGCAAAAGATGTGTAAGTGGGATGAAGGGACTCAACTGCATTTGGATAAGGAGTGGTATTTTGAATATCCAGCACTTTATCACTAAGCAAAATATCACTGTGGTTTGTGAACACCAGATGTGAGCTCCCAGAGGTTCCAGTATCATTTGTAGAGCTGCTGCCAGAAGTATCATTCTGGAAGGCAATGGCAGTCAAGTTCACCTCTTCTTCTGGAGCCAATGGCTGTTTAAATGTTCGAAGACCCAGCATTGAAGCCAGCATCTCTTGTTCTTCATCCTCCTCAGTCATAGTATCTGCATTTTCCCCCTGGGGAAGAAGCTCTTCTGACATTGCACTTTTGTGTTTTTTCTCTTTTCCTTTTTCTGTCTCAGGGGAATACTGGACCACATTTGCAGAAATATTATCATAGTCGTAGTCTTCTTCTTCACTTTTATATTCACTACATTTGGCATTTCTAAACCTCAGTCTCATGCCATAGCTCATCTCACGGGAGCCCCATGATGACAGAAGCCATGTTCCTGCAAAGGCAAAAGCTGTTTAGTACATATGTTCCTAATACAGACATAGATAGAATTGGGTCAAATGGTGACTTTGCACTATAGGTCCCCAGTCTTTTCTGGCTACCTACCTAGTGCAGCACTCTGTAACATCTCTCATATTTTTCCAGGTGGTTCCCAGAGCTGCAGGAGCAGCTTTTCAAGGATCTAAAACTTGGGCGCCCAAATGTGCACCAACAAAGATGTATTCCTCTAGTGGAAAGCCAGCATTAGATACAGCCCACTTGGTACGAATTCTGTGGCTCAGAACTAAAACCAACTGTGCCTCAGTTCAAAATTACTTCCTAAAACTGTAATCTCTAATTGTGTAGCAGGCATCCCCCCCTCTCCAAAGATGGAGCTTCTGTTCAGGGTTCCAGCCTGAAGCCTTGCAGTGCAGTATGGCTATGGAGGGGCAGACTTTCAAGAGAGGAAAACCCTTTCTTTCCCAGTCCCCGGGGCTTTCCCCTGCTGTGTTGTGTGATATTATAGCATTTCATATCTGTGTATCAAGCAATGGTTTAGGCTTTAGAGAATGGAAAGTGCCTTTTTTCTTTCAAGGGGAAGAAAATATCCCTTCCAAACTGAAACGGGCAAACTCCACCTTCAAAGCAGATCCTCCTATTTAAGGACCAGTTGCTTGGAGCCTCTGATACTTCTCAGCTGGCCTGCAGTGTCTCCTTGACTCGGGGCTCTGGGATTAATGGTGCTAGTCCATCCTCCTCCTCGCTAGCATATTCACTAAGCCTTTCCACAGCATTTGAAACTGAATCTCAGATTCTCTGGTTTATCTGTTTGTCTTCTGGCTTTGTCATTTCATCTGTGGAGTCTAACGTCTCTGCCACTTCCCTTGAAGGTTCTTTTGTACACATAATGGGCCCAATCTCTACACCCATAGAATTAGGAAGAAGAGGATGTCAACTTCATACTGCGCATCTCACAGCTCACAGTCCTAACCGTCTGCCTCCAGGACACTTACAGTGAAGGGCGTGGGAAGCTAGGGACTGCATGACTCCCAATTCCCTGCAGTGTAGGCAGTAGGTAAGCAAACTACCTGGTAGACTCCCACCACCCCTTTTACATCCACCTCAGCCTCAGCCAGGGGACTTGCAAAGCTTTCAAGGACACACTTGGCGCAAAGAAATAAGGGTTTCAAACTGGCAAGCTCTATTTCATGCCCCAAGCATAAAACTCTAAACAGCAGCAAGACCAAACAAAGGGCACAGAATTTAGTACTGAAACTTAACTGGAATAAAGCACAGACCTGTAAAAAATAAATAAAGTATAGGAAGAGGGGAAAGGGTATAGGGGTGTACAGCTATCAGGGAAAATCAAAGAAAGCCCAGAGAACACAAAGGAAACCCTTAAAACAACAATAGCCCCACTGGCTTTATATTCTCCCAGATACTTGACAAATGCAAGAAGGGCAATCTTAGCCAAGCACTGATGGACCCAATAACTTCATCTTTTAGAGAAGGAAAACGGAGTAGGAAGCCTAGTGCATGCAGCCCAAATGAAGTAAGTCAGTTTGATCTGGGTAAGAATTCAGCTCTGACTTTGAAGGTCTGGGAACAAGATCAACATAAAATAACATATGTTGTAGCTAGTCTCAAAGTCACATCCAACTCATTGCTCTCCATGGACAACATTCCTCCAGGCCTTCCTGTGCTCCACCATCTCTCAAGTCCACCTAAGTTCACGCCGACTGCCTCAGTGACTCCATCTAGCCACCTCATTCTCTGCTGTCCCCTTCTTCTTTTGCCGTCAATTGTTTCCAGCATTAAGGTCTTCTTCAGTGAAAATAACATATGCAAGAGGTCTAATTAATTAATGTGTGCAGATAGAATCTATTATTTATTCTTTGAACCCATTACACAGCTTCTGTATATCTGGGCAGATGCTGGAATCTTTTTGGAGTGACTTCCCTTGGTGGCTAGCTTGGTGTCGTTATTGTGCCTTTTAAAATTTCCTAGGCAGTTTTAAAAGTGTGCTTACTTAAATGTACTTTTCTGTTACATGTTTTTTAATTCTGCTTTTATGGAATTTTAAAATGAATGTATGAATTTTAAACTTGTTTGCAAGTGTTTGCAAATAAAAGATCAAAGAAATGATTAATCACAGATCTGTCACTTACCAATATTGTCCATGGTCACAGAAGCTGATCTACCATCCATGGGGAAAAGGTCTAAAATGTCTTGATGTTTTCCTCTGCTCAAGAAAGTGTGACCAGAAAGATGCACAGGCACAATCTTATCTTGTGTGCCTATGCTGGCCAGATGCCACTCAACAACCGTTGCCTCACAAAATCCTAGGATATCTGTTCTGTCACATGCATAGCCATTGAGGGCTAAAACAAAGAATACATACATACATTAAAAGCCCTCTGTTCAAAGAACATTTAACTTAGTCAGCGTAAAAAGGAGTGTATCAAATCCACAGACTACTGCTGGCCTCTTTGCACATCAATCAGGAGTTATTCCGCAATGTATGCACAATAAAATAGACAGACAAATTAGCTCATCAAGAAAAGAACTGCACTAAACTTTTTTCTGATGTGCTAATCTACCATGTTCCATGGAGAGTAGGTGAACAGAAGCCTTCAAAACTATGGCCCTGCCTTTATATCACCTGAGACTCAAGGTATTTAGCTTCATTTGCAAATGTACAAATAGAGCATGGGTGGAGACAAAGAGCTTAAACTGTGCTGTGTAGGGTAGCAGCTCTACTCTCCCCACCTTGTATCACACACCTGCCCCCTCTTTCAGCTGGAAGAGTTGATGAGTCGCCTTCACAGTTGCCTCAATGTCTCAAGAAAATTATCCAACTATGTGTAGTCAATATCTCCATTAACTATCATCCAGTTATTAACCTGCTATTTCCCTCACAAGAGATTGTCTAGCACAGCTTGGCCAAGTACTAACAATGAACATTGACCACAGATTTGTCCCCTTAACGTTATTTTGTTCAAAGAAGTCTCCCCCATGTAGTCTGAAGTTGAGCAGTACTAAATTTTTCAGCCCCAGTTCAGCCTTTTCCAATCTTGGTCTCTCACTCCCATCAATTCCCACCAGCAGGGACAATTATCAGGCATAATGATAGTCCAAAACATTTGGAAAATCCAAACTATGATCTTCTAGTTTGTAGAGTTGTTTTGAAACTGGTCAAATGTGTAGTGAACAGCATTAAGCTTACAAATATTATGAAAACATGGCATTCTTCCATTAAAGGAAACATCATGCCTTTTTATAATGATGTTGGCTTTTCACATACTTAGCGAAATGTTGATTTTTTTTACTCACTGTACATGACATTGGACTTTTGGAATCTGGGGTTGTCTCGCTTAACAGTGGAAGGACTGCTGCAGTACTCCTTGATATTGTCTTCCAAGTACCAGCTCTTGTTTTCATCAAACACTGCGAAGACTGCATGCTGCTCTGTATCAGCCTTGTTCTGCAAAACATCAAAGGCAAAATTTGGCTTCTGAGAGCATCTTCTCTCCACTGGCATATGGACAAAGGATCCTATGCTGGCTAATATCCCTCTGGATAGGCTGTCTGGGCTGAGGGTTATGGCACTGTATTTCAGTGGTTCCAGTCTCACTTTGGTGGCTGATCCCTGCTAGAATGCAGATGCTCAGTCAAGTGGCATTTAAGGCATGAGGTCCCACAGGCTTCCATGCCATTTCAGATTTACATCAGGGTAAGGGACATACAGAATGCACATGTCCCACATTGCCACCAAATTCCCTGACACAGCATGTGCCTTCTTCTAAAGCCAAACTGTACTCTTACAAGTACTTTGTTTTACAAGGGAAATGTGGTGCGTTTTCACCACCATTGCGTCAAATTTCAGTGGCAAATCCAACAACATGGCAACAGAGGTAGCAACTTCAGTGGCACAGTGTGTGACTGCTCACTGATGAATCCAGTTCATTGGCAGCCACAATCCCACAGCTAACTCAGATTACATGGTAGGCATGTCATGAGCAGAACTGGAGCCGGAGGTCAGACTAGATAGCCCAGGGGATCCCTTCTGACTAGCTCTGTTTCTATGTTTCTATTCAGGGCTCATATTGATTGTAAAAAAATAGGCACATTAATATCATTAATCCAATTAATATGATGTTTATATGATATATATGATGTTTATATGATGTTTAATATGATGTTTATATGATCCATATATGCCCGCCCGCCCCTTGAGATCTGCGGGAGAGGCCCTTCTCTGGGAACCCTCCGTGAAAGAAATTAGGAGGGTAGGTACTCGGAGGAGGGCTTTCTATGGAATGCGCTCCCCAGAGAGGTCCGCCTAGTGCCGTCATTATTCGTTTTTCGGCGCCAGGCGAAGACCCTTTTATTTAAGCGGCATTTTAATTGTTAACAGTATTTGCAATGTTGTTAATAAAAACATTATTTTATCTGGCCAGGGCGACTTATTTTATATTGTTATTTTTATATTGTTATTTTTGTATTTTACTTCATGTTGTGAGCCACCCCAAGGCATAAATAAATAAATGTATGGTTTGGCCCAAAGGGGCATATGAAAAGCCCAGATGCATGACCCGAGGACAGATATCTTCCTCTCCACTCCCTCTCTCCATTTCACAGCAACTGGTAGTACACAATGAAATGCTATGCATACCTACATTTTCTAAATTGGACTTTCATTAGCTACTAGTCTTCAGGCTCTGCTGCCTTAGTTATCAGATGCTGCTTGCCTTGGGCAGGCAGAACTCTTGTACTCATCGTGCTTCAGGGATCCTGTGGGCAGCTGATTCGCCCCCCATGTGAGCAGAGTGCCGAACCAGATGGACCATTAGGTTGATCCCACATGGCTTTTCTTATGTTCTTGTGCTCAGAGGAGGCCCTCCAGTATGGCTGCCCGTAACTATAACATTATTCAGATTAATGTAATGTGCTGTTTCTTTGTTGTGTTATGTTATATTCCGCTTTATTGCATTTATAAATTGTTGTTCACTGCCCTGCCCAGAGTTATTTGGCTATTGGGTGGTCTAGAAATTAAATCATTAAATAAATAAAATAACTCTTTGAACTCAGAGGATTGCAAGCATCCAATCAAGTGTGAGAGAAACACAGAGACAAGAATTTCCCATGTGCTTCTCCCATTTTAGGCCACATCTGCTTGTGATGTGGAGGGACTAAGGCGAGGCATGTGTGTGGAATCCACTTTGGGGGTGGGAATCTATCAGATTCCCTCACTTGGCTCTCCAGACTCCAGCCTGTTTCTTGCAGCCATGAGCCCAACCTGGGTCTGAGTATGCCAAGCATTCATGCAGGAGCCCTCCAAGAAACAAGTCTATGCAAATGCTGCACAGGAAGCATCCTCCTGCACATGTGACTTGCACCTTTGTTTACACTGCACATGGAAGAGGGTTGCAAGTTGCGCAACTGGAGTTCTTCAAGCGTTTGTGGACTTCCTCTTGGCTCAGCTTGCTTCTGGAGCCAGGACAGAGTGTGAAAGGAAGCAAGCCAGATGATGGGGAAGATCCTTGCAACTCTAGCTGAAACACTACCGGGCTCTTTTGTATCCTACTGCAGCTTCACTCCTCCCCTCTCCACACCCAGAACACCCCTCTAGTTCCAGCAGTGAAGTCTCAGTTACAGCTCTGGAGCCATAACTATGATGGAAATAACTGTACCAACTGCAAGGGCAGAGGGAGGAAACCCTGAGTGTGAGTTACCAGAACTTCCAAGGTCTCAGCTGAGACTCTAACCCATCCTGTGACCAGCTGGACAGCCTGAAACAGCCACCATATTGCATTCATATACACCTACTTTCTCTAGACCTGAAAACAGCACATTGTACCATCTCCCTCTCACAGCCTGTGATATTTGACAGTACCTGTACTCCTCTGGTGTCAAGTGCCTTGGGCTTACAAACTAGGAGTGGTCCAATCAGTCCTGAGGCAATATCCTTTGTAATATCTACAGCACTGTGGTATAATCTGGTGACACACTGAGCATCTTCAGCTGTGGGCACATCTGTGTCACGTACAGTCCATTTATAGGTGTAGACTTCACCTGGTGGCACTGCTTTACCCAAAGTGATGTTCTCTAAAGCAAACATAGGTGGAACAAAGAGCATAAACCAAAGAAAGATCACAATAGTTCTGTGTAGTATGAACACCTCACCGACTGACCTAATTCTCCTGCTAAATGGTAAGAGCTGTCTTTTCTCTAGAATGTGAACTCTAGAAACTCTGATTTTTTTTTTATTTTATGCTCCCACCATGCACCTTCTCAACCATGTTTAACAACAGAAGAGGGAGGCTGCAGTGGTGGTGGAAGAGGACATCAGCCAGCCAACACCAAGCCCGACCCAAGGCACAGCATCATGGCAGTGCGGTCACATGATGAATCCTAGAATACTTTCACCTTGCCTGGGGTAACTTCTTAGGGCAAAAATTAATGCACTGCTTTCACAGTAGGAATTGACATACAATCATGCAGTGTTTCTGAACCTAATTATCATGACTGTGGCAGGTACAGAATCCTAAGGAGCTTGGAGCTGAGGACTATAAATAACAAATGCCCTAACTAGGGGTGGCTGAGGCGCATCAAGAAATTTTGAGCAACTGTTGTAGTAAGGGGAACCGTGCTGGAGCCTATTCAAGCCCAAGTGGACATTTGTGATTAGAACACAAGCTGATTATGGCATGGATAGCAAGGATAGTGTCCCGGGGTGCTGAAGCAAGAATTTCAGTGGCTTAATTTCTTCCCCTAACTGCTTTCTCCAAGTGTGTAAATAAAAATTTGTAGCCAAGTTTTAACCCAACACCAGTGCCCCTTTTTTCTCTGTTGAATACAAAGTGCTTAACATCTCCTTAGATGTCTTGCAAATTTCTTCTGCTTTCCATGGCTTGCTAAAACTGAGCCACATTTCTGGATGAAACTGAATTTATAGTTAGCTCAGAAGCCCTTAGGAAGCAATCTGGTGCATGCTTGCAAAAAAAAAAAAAAAGTCTTACAGTTCCCAGGAATCTCCAGTCTGCCTGCCCAGCTGGCTGGCTGGCTGGCTGGCTGGCTGGCTGGCTGGGGAATGTTGGGATTTGTCAGACTTTTTGTATAAGCATGCACAGAACGGTACCTATAAAGTCACTTTTACAAAAAAAAAAAAAAAGTAGAATAACCATGGGACCAACTTTCTCGCTGGGAGCAATCCCTTTCTGTGTCTCTCCTCTGTATGAAGACTGTTGAGAACATTAGCAAATTCTAAGCGAAAACAAACTGAAATGAAGTTATCATCCATTTGTACCAGTCAAATTTAACAGGTATCACTATTTCCATTTCCCAGCATGGAGGAGACCCTAATAATCTAGCCTGGCTGCCATATACTTGTTCTGATGGTTCTCAAAGCTTTTATATTGTGTTTTGGAATGTTTAACATACAACATTCAAAACTAATGTAAGCAGTCAAAATGCTTACAAAGCAAGAAAGCAATTGAGGCAGAAATAGTAATTAATGACCAACCTTTGGAATCTGAAGGATAAACAGCTCCTTCTGCCTCCTTTGAAAGTGTAACTCCATGCACATAAATACTGTAGGGCCGACTGGCCATATTTTTGAATACAATCTGTTTTCAATGGAGGTAGAGAAGATATTTGCTCAACATGCCAATAATCAGATTTTGTACAAAGTTTTCATCATAATTGTGTTATCACAGAGAATATCTGATTTATACCAAAAGTGCAAAACCATGTAACATAACAAAATATGACTTTAAAAATTCTGAAATGCTGGCTGTACATGTTCTGCCGCTGTGTGATCCACATCTATCGGCCACTGTCCTACTGCATTTTCTGTTATGTTTTATTTTTATATAATTACCTATTAGAATTATATCCCACCTTGCTCTCTCTCTCTTTTAAGAACCCAGAGATGTTTATATCATTCTGCTCCTCCTGCTCTCAATTTATCTCCATAGCAACAACCCTGTGAGGTAGGTTGGTCTGAATGTCTGTGACTGACCCAAAGTCACCCAATTGGCTCCATGGCCAAGCGGGGACTAAAACCGAAATTGCCTGAATCCCAGACCTGCACTCTTAAACAGTATACCATACTGGCTCACTGCATCTCTGACTGGGTCTCTTTCATGGCAATGTACAGAAATCAACAATAACTGTTTATCACCGCCTTTCTGAAATTTCGCATGCTTCTTACTTAAAGACAACTCTATGACATAAGCCATTTTCATACAAATTGCCAAAAATTCCATGGAAGAGACTGAACGAAAGAATTGAATGGCCTTTGAACACAAAAAATTTGCACAAATCCTTCTGAAATTTTGCAGATATCTAAATTAGGGTCACTTCAGTGCTCAATGGGCCCATTAAAAACATATGGAATAAGTGCATCTTTTTAAAGTCCTCCCTCAAAAACTGTAAATGCTGTTCTTGCACAAAGCTTCCAAAAACTTTTCATCGGAAACTTTGAGTCTTCAGGAGATGCAACTCTTATTGCAAATTTCTTTCAGCTCAGTCAAGGAAGAATTGGCAGTTCTTTTCTGTCTGAAGATAGGAAAGCATAATTCCCTCATAAAAGACTACTATGTCTGCAAATGTTATTCAATTCTGACAAAAAGAAGAAAAGAAGAAACTGGTTGATTTCAGTCAATTGGAGACATAAAGACCCAAGTGGGAGGCCACCAAATTGTTCTGAGCTAAATCAGGCTGTTTTCTGGATTTCACAGTTGGGGTTTGAACTGAATTTTGTACAATGCACATTTTCACACCTGTGGTCTGTGCACAACCCTAGTTTTCACACCTGTTCCTGCAAACTAACTGCATTATTTTGGCATCTAATTCATTTTGATTCCAGAGGGTGGAGCTCTTGTCATTTGTCAACAAAAGACAACGCCATGTTGGGCCAGACTTAGGTCAAAAGCGCACCTTTGTCCCCAGAGCACTGAGTAGCTGTACTTGGCCTCCCCACCCCTTTTTTCTCTTTTTTAAAGCAAGCTTTTACATTTGTGATATGACAGCTTCGATTTAAAGAATATAAATAGGAAAATGTCTGATTTAAAAATAGTTAAGTCCCATTGATGTTCAAAATGTTAGTCTTTGCTAAAGTCTCATCATCTTCAGTGAGACGATGGGACCTAAGTGTGACTACCTTTGCTTGGATCCAGCTGAATACAAATTCAAATAATTAACATTTTTGGATAATCAAACTGTACATATGAACAGAAATCCTATTACTATATATGAATGCAATAAAATTGATTTTTAGACTAAGTACTTTTGATATGATTTTCAGTACTTACATTGATTGTATCTCTGACCTGAGCTCTGATAACAGGGCCCAGAATTCCAAGTTCTTTGTTTCTAATATTATCTACAGGTTTGGTGAAGGTGGCATCCTTATATTGCCTGAAAACTGCCTTTTTATACTTCTTGCCAATGTGATTTGAAAAATTTTCCAGATACTGAGTTTTATATTGTCTTTAAGATTGGAAAAAAGAAAAAAAGATTAGGACTCGGAAAGATTCACTCCGTAGGATAATACATTCCCTAAAAGAAACAAAAGTTTCTGCTTAGTTTGCTTAGACTGTCCTACATAACACAAATGACTAGATGCAATACAGTCAGTCAAACACACCCAAATACATATATCCTTCCATTTCGGTATAGGTACAGAGCAGGGGTGGTGAGCCTATGGATCTTTAGATGTTGATGATCTAGTTCTCTGATCATTCCTCATCATCGGTGATGCTAGATGGGGCTGATGGAAGTTGGAGTCCAATAGCATCTATGAGTGGTGTATATAAACTAATGATCAGGCCTCTGCTCAATGTGCTCCACACTGTGGCAACATTTTGTGTACTCACTATAGCTCATCCATAAGCAGCAATCTGTTTCTGCAGACAAGTGACAGTCGCTAAAACTGGCAGCAGTCCAAAGTGCCGAAAGCATAACACTGGCATGATTTCTTTCACAATAATCATGCTTGCTTTGCAGGGGACCATGGTGCCAACCCAGCTAGTATTTTGTGCCAGAACTGAAATAGGGCTGGATTTCAGGGGATTGAGAGAACTACATTTGGCCTTGGCAAATATGGAGCCAGGCTGTATGGCACCACAGTAAATAGATAAAAGTCTCATAATTGAAACTATTTCAGCAGTTAAAATCTGTGCTACATGAACTCAGCTAAATTAACATCTTTCATGTTTTCTTGTTATTTTGCAGAAACCTATTGACAGCTTCTCAGATATAATGCATTCATTTCATACCATTTCAAACCATCCAAACCTTCTGATCCTTGAGCTAATATTTGTTCATTCACAGCACTCAGCAGCAGTGCAACATTCTAAGGTGTACGACCTGGTTCACAACATCTGATCAACCAAAATATTCCACTATCTTACTTATCCACATTGTCAGAAATATCCTCAGCATAATCCCAGACGATTTCCTCAGCAGCAATGAAGTAATTCCAGTTCTTAATCATCCTCGATTCTCTATAGGTTAATATCCTTGTTATTGTGTCTGGTTTTCCACAGTCTTCTATGTTGAGGTAACCATGCATTCCAGCTGGTTTGAGAGAGAGATGTGACAAAAACCATGAGGAATGTCAGTAGTTAAGAAATGTAGATTTCCAGGTACTATTCATGTTGCCTTTCACCCAAGTCAGATGGAAAGAAGGCTGTGCATTTGATATTCTTGATTTTGAAAGAAGCCTATTAAAGATGTTGTTTTATCTCCCTCCATAAAATAGCAAAACGCTTCTCTGTTGCCCACAGAATGGAAACTATGAACTCAAGGATAAGTAGTTAGTATGTTAGAATTGTTACTAATCACATGTTAGTATTGTTGACTGTACCACATGACTGCTGTTTCATTATTTTATGTCATGATTTGCATTGCCCCATGTCTTTTCAGTGACTTAAAATCTTTGAAGGGGTGTGGTTATTTTTCCTGCAGAATCTTGTGCATTTCAGCACTCATCTGAAGATATTCTGTTTCTTCATTTTGGCAGTGGTCATACTGATACAAAAGCTACTGGGAGCTTAGAAATCTTTACAACTGAAGGTGCTACCCCATGAGTACAGAACCTCCAGTCTGTATCACCTCCACAGGGTCCACCCCTTTGGCACTCCAAGCCCTGTCCCCATCTATGTTGGGGGCTGAATGGGGAGAGGAATCAATACTGTTATCTCAGATCTCTAAGCAAAGGTAACAGTGGGGATTTCCCTGTGCAGCTCCACTGTGCATAGGCTTTCCCAGTCAGGACCTACATGGTTAATAATAAACCAAGTAATTTTAGCTGCTCAACATTTGCTTATCTTTAATTAATTGGCATATTGTTAATATTATTGCATTTTGAGATACTGAGGAAAGTGGAAGATAACCTCTAATTTAATAAATTAATGGTCCCAGTCATTGCTGGATGAAAAGGACATCTCCATTGCTCTCTTTTTCACTCCCTATTACAAGCACCGCCAAATCAAAGTGGCCACAATGCATAAAGAAGTATGTCCCCTAATTCACAGCCTGCTTATATTTGTCCTCAGGAGTTAAAATTGGCCCTGCCAGTTAATCTACTAAAATATTATTTAATTAACATCGTGACTATACTTTAAATATTATAGCTTTGATAAGGACATTTCTACTTAGCCAATGCAATGAAAGTCTTTAAGATCTTCCTCCCCCAAGAACAGGCACAACTAATGCACCCAAGAGGTTAAAAGAGGGGAAAGTCACATGGTGGTCACTTGAAATCATTGCACACGTTACAGTGGGTAAGCCAGCTGTGAAATCCATCACACTGACACCGAACACACAGTCCTATGATGTTGGGAGCTGTAGGATTTTTCATCTAAACATTTCCCAGGCAGCAGCACTGGCTGGGGAACTCTAGAAGTGATAGGAAGTTCATAAAACATATTTGCAGATGCAAATACTAGTAGTTCTTCAGTCACTTTGGAAGAAAATGTAGTTCTAATGCACCAGATCCTTTCATAGCATCCTACTTAAACATAGAAACAGAGCGAGTCAGAAGGGGCCTCCCAGGCCATCTAATCTGACCCACGGACTTCAGTGCTCCCACAGCTAAGGTAAGCTTGGGAATTCCACATGCCCGCCATACAAGGGAAGAAACATGAACCTGCAGTTAGACAACTGCTGGTTTAATCAAGGTATCCTTGCCTTCCTGATGCTTTGCAAGCAGTGATGATAATAGCCACCTTCCCGTCACGCTCACGGACATGTTTGCTGTTGCTGCTGCCCCTGCAACAAGGCTAACAGTTGACACTCTGTGCTTGTTTTGTTCCAAGGTTTGACCATTGAAATGGATGGAGAAGATCTCAGGGGTGGAACACATCCCTATCAGATGCCAGCTAATACGATCATAAGCACAGGCTTGTACATCTGAAACAAAAAGTACAATTGTTGAACTGTCACAAATATCCTACAGTGATGTCAGTCAAGCTGAGCAATAAAAGTAAATGCAGTACCTGGCAGAGTTCCATTAGCATAGCCATTAATTGTGTACATAAGGGAGGCCCCGTTTTCCCAGCTTTTGCTTTCATCAAACACAGCAAACATCAACACGTATTCCCTGTCAAATAGCTTCTGTGTACCGTTTTCATGCAAGCTACCTAAAAGAAAAAGAAAAGGGTGCTAGGAGGGGAGAACGCAGGCCGCCACAGACATCAGCAAGTAATAGTTCGTCAATTAAATCATAGATTGCGGGTGCAACACCTCCCAGACCCAGGAGCCAAATGACGCCCCAGGGGGCTTGCATCAACTTCCCCCCAACTGCCAATTGTTCAGTAAGATGGGCAGTTCTTTCATACATTCTGAGAAGTTAAGGTGTTTCTCCTCAGGTTTTATTTACTGGCAGTAAGAGCTCTAAATTAAAATATGCTGGTATTTCTGCTTCACCCACCACTGGAATGTGGCTCCCAAAACCTCTCTAAGATTAAGTTTGGCCCTCAGGCAGAAAGAAATTCTGCATTACTGTCATAGATAAAGGATTCCAGTACCCTGTTGAGCTGGAAGCAAAACTGAAGCTGTTATACTTTGGGCACATCATGAAAAGGCAAGACTCACTAAAGACGACAATCATGCAGGGAAAGCTGAAGGCAGAAGAAGAGGAAGACCAACTATGAGCTGGATCAGTTCCATAAAGGAAGTCACAGCCTTGCGTTTACAGGAGCTGAGCAGGACTGTCAAGGACAGGGCATTTTGGAGGACATTCATTCATAGGTCCTCATAAGTCAGAGCTGACTTGACAGTGTGTAACAACAACAAAGTTCTTGAGCAGGTATTTTATCATTTTGGTGTCCAGTGCCTTCATTACAGGTTTAAGATTCAGGAAGTTTAAGAACTCTTTAACGTGTGTATTTGTTACATTTATTTTCTGCCTCACTCAAAGGTGTCCAAAGTGATTCACAGCAGATTTCCCCATCCAGATCCTGATCAGCCTAGATCCCCTTTCTTTCAGAAATGGTGCTAAATCAGGCACTTTCAAAAGGCTTCCTGGGACTAGCATTAAGCTACTCTTGGCATATTCCATGGGAAAAAATATTAGAGGCATATTACACCATTATGCTTAATAATGGGGGTGTGTCAAATTACAATTGTTTGAGAACTCTGTAAAGTCCTGTAGGAGGTGCCATTGAGCTTCCTGTAAACTGGTGGGTAAATAAAACAACAACAGCAGCCACCAAGACTCAAGTATTTCCTCACTGTCTAAAGCACAGCTGCAAGATGGCTCCCTACTGCAGAAGCCCTGTTTCCTACTCCCAGATAAAGGAGAGCTGGCTGTCATATAGTTATTAGAAATTGGCTGTTTTTAATTAAACATGTAAAGATCAATCAGGCCTTTCACATACATCTGTTCTAGAAATAACTTGTTCCTAAGAGAGTTCAGGAGGTTGAAAAAGCATTAACATTGAACCTTAATTTCTGCAAGTGCTGTTATTTCTGATAGGGAAGACTCAAATTCCAGAATATGAGATTAGCTCCTGATTCAGGGTCTGCTGCCCTGAGCAAGAACCCAACAGCAGACTCCACTAGTATCTAACGGCTTGCAAGGAGAGAGATTATGTTTTGCCAAAATGGGCCTCTTTTGTCAGAGGGGCCAAAGAGTTGTAGCAGCTAAAAATGAGCAAATAGGAATGTACGTATAAGTGGAAGGATAGCTCATTATGAGATCACCCCGACAGTGACCTGTGTTTACACAGCTTAGAGTTTTCCCATCTTAGGTGTTTTATTTACCTTCTTTGCATATCAACAAGGCACCAATAAGGCCAGAATTAAAGTCGGCCACCATGTTTACATGTGAGTAGTAGGCATATGTGAGACAGGGAGGATCAGCTTTTTTGGGTCCAATTTCTGCAGTCACCTTCCACACATATGTGCGCATCTGGCCGGGAGGCACAGCTTCGTCTTGTTCTTCTATACATGATGACCTGGCAATACATGAGGAACCTTCAGTGGCAGAGGAAAAAAAACAGTGAGAATTTACCATTTCATTAATAAAGTTCTTCTTTCATTGATGCCCTTATGTGTACACACACACACACACACACTGACCTTACAGTGCTGGTCACACAATCAGCCCCATTGGTTGCATGTTTTTCCTTGTGTTAAAAATCAAATCAATGTCACCATCCACCTGATACAGCCCCCTTTCCCCCCTTCTCTTAGGTTCTACATGTACATGGTCAAGCAGATAGGGATTTACGCCCAAATAAACCTAAAGAAGTATTTGCTATAGCTGTGTAAACTAAAACTTTAGATCCCCCCACCCCCACCATGCTTACACGAATGTTGCTGGAATGGCAGTTCCTGTGCTGAAGTTATTCAGCCAGTTTGCTTTTGCTCCTGAGACTGGCATACCAAGTTTATTTCAGCAGAATTAGTTGCATTCCAAAGCAGCCACTGAAAGACTAACCAGAAGGCTTTACTGGGGTCTCAGGTACTCCAGTTTGGTACATTTGCCCCTTGCCATTTAAACAAATTGTGTTGATCACTGTCTTAATATAGAGAGATGGAACAAGATGGTCAGATTGAAGAGAACGACATCTCTAAGCAAAACATAGCTCCATTCTGGAGCTTCCAGTATTTGCTGCTACAATTAAACCAACTTAAGTATAACCAGCTTATTTTTAAGGGCTTGTGGCCAGGTCAAAGCCTTAGGTGGTCTTAAGGTCATAGTTCCACAAGTGGGAGCTTGGCTGACTCATCTTGGTTGTTTGATCAAAGTAAGAACAGCAGCCTTTTCTGAGACATCTGCACAGAGGTACCTCCCCATGTCTGTGTCCCCTTCTACAACATTTTATGGGGTGGAACTATCAATACTCTTGCACATAGATATTACTCCCTTTATACTACTTCAGTACCAAGGAGCACTGCAAATGCATGTACACACACAACTTGTCTGGCATTACGTCCTGAGTACATCTCTTCCTCTTCCCCTTCCCCACAGGGCTACATGGGAGGCTATTACAGCACAATCCTTTATTTGAGATAGACAGGCTTTTCATGATATAGGGTATTTCATAAGAAGATTGCTGCTACTTGAGAACAGAGTCAAATTTCTTCTGGTTTGTGAGAGCAGCTCTTGCCCATGTGAAGATTTGGTTCCAACTGAAGACCCCGTCTTCCCCTCCTTTCCCCAAAGACTTGACTCACAGGGAGGTTTGTGCTGCCTGGGGCCAAATGGCAGGACTACAAGATGTCATTTAATTGGACCAGTCATTGGCTTTATGCTGCCTCACTGGGTTAATTTACATAACTCTTGCTCAGGCCTTCCCCGTACTACAAAGTCTCTCCCCAAAGATGGGTGATTTGGTTCTGAGAAGCTGCCTGTCAAACCTTGCTCAGTAACATGGACATTTCTGTGCCACATTCTAACCTCTCTCCTCTGTCTAGTTCACATTCTGAGTTTGAGAATTTTAACTAGGGATGCTGTGTTTTGAAAGAAACAGTGCCCATCTCTACACATTATGCATTGTTAAAAGCTTTTCTGTGCCTGCCACCATTGTATTTAAACAGCCTCTTCTACACTGCCCTCTGAAGCAACTAAGATAGTCAACTGTTACCAGTCATTGATTTTTAAAACATTTAAAGAATATGTAACAAAATGTTTTTAATCTCAGAGTGTACCTGGTTGCATTTAATAGGAGCAGTGGCAAGCAACTTTCCATCCATTTATACCATGAGGTTAAAATGGCATCCTGAAAACAATCCCCAAAAGCAAAAAGATAAATAGCTGAAAGGAAGAAATGCTCTTAGCAGGCAAATAAGTCATCTGCATCCCACCATCTGGTCTTTCATTTCCATCTCCAGTTGCATGGGTCATGGGAAATTATATACATAGTTTTTCTTTCTTCTCCCATTGCTCATACATATACTCAATAAAAAACCCAACATAGTCCTTCCAAGTGTGTTGCCAAGTAAACAGCATTTCCTGGAAGCTGTTGTAACAGGCAGATGTTCATTTGCTACATAAACAGGTTCAGAACCGATCCAAAGTTCATAGATCTCAGAAAACCACCACGTTTTTTTCTAACATGTATTTGATTGTACCTCTTCTCTACCAGGATCAGAGCATATTTTGCTTTAAGGGTTGCCAGCCATACAGAAAACCAAACACACACCTAAGCTGGTTATTCATTTCATTCATCCATCTCTAGATTTATACATTTTTATACATTTTTGTTTGAAAAGCCCAAATTTTAGATGAGGTGTCTTAATATTTTAATTAAAAGCTAGCAGCAACATTTTCACACATGCAATACACATAGCTAACACATGCAAGCTAAAGGCCAAATCGTGCATGGTGCTAAATGTGTAGCACAAATCTTTTCACAAATACAAACAGCGACCATGGTGAGCAGGTTGTGATTAGGGTCAGGATTTAGGCAGCAGGAAGGATGAACTTAACCCTGCCCGCCCTGCCACAGACCTAATGTCACCTACCCACCCTCACTGCAAGCTGCTATTTGCCAGCATTCAAGGCATGAATGGCTAACTAACTAGGAGGGGCATCAAGACCCTGGCAACCAGGTTAGGGCTCAAGATCCAACCTAAACTGTAATCAAGCAGTCCAGGGTCAGTGCTAAGAGTAGGAGAGCAAGGTAGAGTCAGTCCAAGAGACCAGCATGGTCAGATAAGCCAGGAATCAGGAAACCAAGGAGACAATGCTGAGGAGAGAAGTAGGAGAAGGAGTATGCAAGGACCAGGAAGCTGGGCGGGGACCAGGAGCGGAGTCCAACAAACAAGGAGCACCGCACCAAATCAGAAGACCTTCATTATTGAGGAAGCTTCTGGAGAGAGGAGCCAGTTCTTATATAACTCTCCCCGCCCCCCCCCCCCCCCGCCCCGCCAGGCTCCCAGGTGGAGCTCATTTGAGTCCTGGCAGCTGCAGGGGACTGTGGTAGTAATCCTGCAAGTACCAGGGCTGCTATGCTGGTACTTGGCCAGCAGAGGGAGCCCTGAAGCTGCGTGGGATCTTGATACTATTCCTACTAGGAAGGAAGCCATTCCTGCATGTATTTTAAAAACCAGATGTTAGTGTCACAGTTGGAGAGAATGTAAGTTAGAAGTTAATATCTAAATGGAATACATTTTTGTTCTGTCAGAGAATTAGGAGACAGCATTTCTGTATAGGTTCCAAAAAACAATGGGTGTAATATGAGAAACTACAAATTCAGTGTTAGATAAGGTGTGAAAGTATGTCCTCATACCTTCTCTCGTTCTCTTTCTTAAAACAAAGCTGCTTTAGGAGAACAAAGTGTTGGTAAGTGTATGAGGATTTATGGGCACTTTCCTGCCTCCTGCTTTCAAACACCATTTCAAACCTTGCTGGTTGTAAAAATTGGCTTGGAAAAAGCCACTTGGAAGGTGTGGGAGGGCAGAGGGGCAATTATTTGGATCAATGAAATGGTAGGTGGAGGTGTTGCCTCCGTCCTCTGGTTTCTCTTCCACTCTAAATTCCCTCTCTAGATGATGAACAGTGGAGGGGTGTGATTGGAAGCATTTTCTGCTCCCTTTCCAGGAAGATATGAATCAGCTAAAGGCTGTCAGGATTTGGGTTGATTTCAGAGCTTCAGGGAAGCGCTGGAGCTATGCTGAGGCAGGTATGCTGAGGCAGTGATTTCATTCAGAGGCCTGGCCTTCACCCGAAGGTCACCAAATTATCTGCAAAGTTTAGAAATTACATTGAACAATGCTGCTGTGATCCCCAAGCATGCAATGATTGCTCATAGCGAAACAACTAGAATACTTCTTGCACTTTCACCACCAATATGAACCTGCAACATCATCATACTGAAGTAGAAGAATGACATGTCTCACTTTCACGTCAGGGCTTGTACTCTGGAGAAAACCAAACACTTCTTGAAGGAAGCAGCATTACAAAATACCTCACGCCATTCTAGATTACATTTTCTATGGGAAGTTGCTCAGGAGGGCATATTCCTATTCCAAATAATATTAAGAAGTGGCTAATATCTTGGTGAACCAGACCATCTACTCTGGGATGGCAGGTGCGAGTTTCACACATAAACGTTCTTGCTTAAATGCACTTGCAATGGAGATCTGAAGTGCTTCCAGACTTTATTATGCCATTGCCCTGCACAGAGTCATAGAATAGCAGAGTTGGAAAGGGCCATGAAGGCCATCGGGTCCAACCCCCTGCTGTTGCAGGACACCAAGTTACCCCATCCCACACAGATGGCTGTCCAGTTTCTTTTTGACTGTCTCTAGTGTGGGATAGACTACAACCTCTCTATGCAGCTGGTTCCACTGTCTTATTGCTCTGGCAGTGAGGAAGCTTTTTCTGATCTGGGTTGTCTCAGCTCAGATAGATTATTCCATGTGCTACACTCCCGTATCAGCAATATTGACCTTCCTCTTTGTGGCAGCCTTTGAGGTACTTATAGAGGGATATCATCCCCACCCACCCCAGCCTTCTCTTCACAAGGCTGAACATGCTCAGTTCTCTCAGTCTCTCCTCATAAGGCAGTGTTTCCAAAGCCTGGATCAGTTTTGTTGCCCTCCTCTGGAGCCCTTCTGCATCATTTACAGAACTGTACACAGGCAGTTTGTAGCCCTGCTGTGGTTTCCTACCACTTCTTCCACTTCATTCTTACTGGAAAAAAATCAAGGCAAAGGAGACAGACATTGTCATCTAATTGATACTGCTAGCAGCCCTCTGTTCAGAAGCATCGAGTCTATGTGCTTCTCTCTTGATCGTGTCTTGTTTCGTAAAAACCAACAGCCCCCTTTTGTTCAGTTTGAGCTACATGAGACTGTCACCCTAAGATGGCATGATACACCTGATCTAATGTTAGGAGACCATTCCCTCAAACAATTTGAGGCTTTCACACACCATCTGTGAATGTGAGGATGGCAGAGTAAACAAACAAACAAACAACAGTTCAACATTGAGGAGACAATCTAGTCCATACTGGTACCACATTTGCGTCACCAATAAACAACATCAAAAGCACCTTATATATTTATTTGATTTGTATCCTACCTTTCTACCAAGAAAAAACGGCAGTCAAAGCACTTTTGGTGTCATATTGTATGAAAGTGTCTTTAAATCCACTGCAGAGAGGGTGACCACAATATCTAATCATGTTCTGCAGCACTTACTCTCTAGCGGTTTGCTGTACACGGCACATTGAGGGTGAATGCTCAGTGGTCTGTCAGCATAATTCCTAAAATTAATGATGAGTGTGTCTCCTATTTCGGCATGTACTAGTGGACCCAGAAGCCCTGCCAAAAAGAAAGGCAGAAAGAAATATGAAGAGAGAGTCTAAACATACAACATGTTGGTTCTTGGGAAAGGAGACTTGCTTTGCCCTGACTGGAGACTGTATTGAGATATAGAAAGCTAAAAGTGACAAACTTCAGGATACACTTGAATAAACTGTGTCTATTAGGATACACCACCATTTTTGGGAGCTGAGATTCATAAGAAGGAAAGAGGACATGGCTGTGCATATAGGCTTTTCTCACTTATAATATGCACATTAGGGAAATGCATGGAAGGGGGTGGGATTCCATCCCATGGCACCCAGGGATTGGATGAATATGCATATTCCTGCTCCCCCTTCACATATTCAGACAGTGCATTTTTGGAAAATGAAAATAAAGATGATTTTTCCAAAGCAAAAAAGAAGGCATTCCGAAGGTATTTTTCTCCATGCGTCTTGCAGCCAACTCCAACATTCTTGCCCAGCACACCCTAACCTTGAGGCACTAACACTCCCATCATTCCTAGCCCACATGGCCATCATCAAACACATCTGGAAGGCCCAGGGTGAGGAAGGTCCTTCTGGCCATTGCCCCCCCCCCCCCGAGTGGGATGGGAACCATGCTTAACTTTAACAACAACATGGGATCATAGAAAATTACCTCATACTAGGCAAAAATATTTGTCCATCTATCTTAGTATGGCCTGCTGTACTCCATCTGGTTCTCCAGAGCTTCAAGCAAAAAAAACCCTACCACATAATCTACCTGACTCTTATATGGAACATTTGAGGCTGCCTTATACAGTGTCACACCCATTGGTCCATGGAGGTTAATACTGTTCACACTGACTGGAGACCCCCACAGGAAAACAGACCCTCTGAGGGAGGCATCTTGACCAGCCATTCCCAGTCTGAATCCAGAAGACATGTGGCCACCCTTGGCCTCTGCCACCAGCCAGAGGAGCAAGAGCCTCTGGGTGGTTGAATCACGAGCATCCCAGTAAGAACTGCAGCAAAGCAAAACCCTCATGACCCCAATTGAGTACACAATATAAGCAACAACTCATCACTACTAAAAAGTCACCATTTTGCTCTCTCATTGTAGCCCTGTGCACCCTCTTTTTCCATTACCAATCCACTCCCCTTTGCTTGTATTTCTTGTCTTCTAATTAAATGTGAGAATAGGGCCTTCATGACATCTTAATTTCTGTACAATGCTCACTAGCAACACTGTGAATTGAAACTGACTCTCTGTGAGCCACCACTTGGGAAGACTCTCTCTCTGTGTATATGTAAAAGCAGAATACATTAAATGACTAAATATGTGCTTAAACCTGCTGTTTGTGTTCCATTCTACAGAGAGATCACACAGTAAAAACAGTAACATCTGCAAATGACATGCAAATAACACAGTGCTTGCCCAATAGCTCATTTCTTGGTTTTTCTGTTTTGAAATCTTCTTCATACTCCCTGTAGACAATTTTCTTATAGCCAAGATTTGACTTTAGTGATCTGAAATGCAAAGAACATGAAACTAATCATATAAAATAGCTCATGCAGGAAAGAGATTCCTTTTTTAAAATTCATGATGGAATTCATCAAGAAAGTTAAGCACAGTTGCAGAAATTAATAGATGTGTTTAAACACATTTTATATAGCTGCTAACTGGGCTACTCCAGGTGCTATAAATTTTGAAGTGAGGTAGGTGATAACAAGACAGGGCCTTTTTTGTTATGGCATCTTGCCTCTGGAATTCTATCCCTCAAGAAATGCACCTGGCACCATTCACCTTTGTTGCACTGGCTGAAAATCTTTTGATTTGCATAGATCTTAGGTGCCCAGTGATGTTTTATATTGCTGGATGATGAAGATGATAAAAATGACATTGTAATTTTATCCCACCTGTCATTGAGGAAAAAAAAAATCCTCTTGTGAGGAGCTCAAGGTAGCTTACATAGTTCTGTTTTTCTCACAACAACCTTGTGAAGTAGGATAGGCTGAGAATGAGTGAGTGGCTCAAAGTCACAGAGTGAGCTTCGTGGCCAAGTGGGGACTAGAACCCAGATCTCCCTGGTCACCAGTCCAACTCTCTAACCACCATACCATACTGGTTCTTCATATTATGACAATGGCTTCTTTCATTATATTTTATGTGTATTTTTAAAAATTGTGATTTTATTATTTTGTCACTAGCCACTCTGAAAGCATTGGTAAGGATGGTTTATAAGTAACAGAAAGAAAGACAGAAAGAGAAAGAAATTTTTCAGAATTTGCAATATTGTATTGCAATATTGTGTCAGGGCTGGATTAAATGAAAGCACACTGAGTGCTGTAAACAAAAGCAAGAATTCATGTTGGTTTATAGGAACAAAACAGGAAGAAATCTCATTGAGACGTCTCAGTTTCCTCAGTCTTTTGACTCTTCAGGCCCATTGCTGTCTATAAACTTTTATTCCGAATTCTCGAGACTTAGAAAATAGTTCCATGTTCTTAAACAAAAGCAAAGATTCTCAGGATCTGGGCTGCGTGGAGGAGCTCAGTTCTGTGCTAGAAGCTATGGCCATCCACACATACAGAAGGAAAGGCTCTCTTCGTTTAAATTAACAGACAGCACCTTCTGAGTGCAGTGCAAAAATGCAGGCGCCTTGTTGAGTCATATCAACAAACCCGCTCTAGCAGCTTTCCTCTATGCTGGGATTACATCTTTCATAAAGCCAACTGGCCTTCATTGCCCATTCAGGACCCAGATACCCCCAAATTACTTTGCACAACAACAAGAAATATTATTTTGTTGCTGGGAAAATTCCTCCCCACCCCACAACCCCTTCTCCTGTGATGACTGAGATAGTGTAGTGCGGTGGTTAGAGTGCTGGACTGGGTACCTGGGAGATCCAGGTGCTGGTTCCATTCAGCCATGACGCTCACTGGGTGACTATGGAGCAACTCAGCCTCACAGGGCCGTTGTTGAAAGCGTGCAATGGAATGGAGGAGAGCTCCATAAGCCGCTCTGGGTTCCTCACAAGAAAAAAGTGGGATATAAGTGTGATGGAAGCAGCAGTTCCTCCGAGGAAATAGAGAGGGGAATGTCAGATGATCAGGTATAAAGCACTGACAGAAATAGGGAAGGGCAAATAAGCATTAGAGAACATGGCAAAGCAAGTAAACTTTACTTAAAACAAGTAAGGTGAAGTTTTGCTCTGAAAAAGATACATTAAAATTAATCTAGAAAGGAACTCTTTAAGTATAACAACTTGAGTGCCAGGACTTTTTAAATGTAACCCTTTTATACTTTTGACAGCTATATGCCCAATAGGAATTCAGTGGAAAATGCTTTTCCCAGCACACAGGAAAGACGTCACCTGGCTAATTGCTGCCAATCATTGAAAGCAAAGGAGCCATGGCAAGAAAAAAAGTTGGCAACCCTAACAGAAAGCAGAAAACAGATGGCATAGAAGAAAGATATGTGAAGAGACCATGGGGAATGAGTTTCAGTGTAACGGGGAAGCAAAAGGAGGTGTAACTGTATGGCAGGAACCCAAACAATTACAGGAACCAGAAGTACAGAACTTTAAACATAAACTTGAAACTTAATGAGTACTGTGACCATGGGTGCAGCTGGCAGGACTGGAATCCAGCAAGGATACAAATATATGAGAAGCTATTAGGACACTGGATGAGGTTTCAGCAAAGAGAGCAGAGAGGAGAGGTTAAAAGGCTGTGGGTCAGTTTATACAATCAGCAGAATCAAATGGTAATTTTTTTTTCCTGGCCTGCATCCTATTAAAGTTAAACAGGTTTTTTTCCCTACCACCATTCAATGTATCTGTTCAAAGTAGTGTACAACTACTATGCAATTAAAAAAATCACAGAAGTGGTTTAAATCTAAAGAACTTACACTAAAACTGGAGAAGAGCAGAGCAGAACAACATGTTCACTTCTGGGCTGAAAATGTGGGAGCAAAGTTGTGTGTGTGCCTGAATGCTCCCCCACACCAAACCAATGAAACTCCTTGTGTGTGCAAAACTCACATAAGAGGGGAGACTTTGTCTGTGTGACCTAACTGAATGGTGGTACACAGGGGGAAGTGGATAGGCAGGCAATAATAAAAAAGAATGACTCAAAAAATAACAGCAGAAAACAGTTAAAATCTTTGCAGAGTTTGAGAAATGCTATTCTCTTATTAATTTTATTATTTTCGAGTACTGGAAAGGAATATATGAAAATGATGGAATGATTAAGAAAGCATTGCAATTTAAAAAACACAGTCCACTGGTTAGGCAGAATAACCCATTCCATCCCCTTTCACCTCCCCAGTAAGGACCCTCCCTGGGCTTTTCTTACCTAGGCAGCTCCTCATGCTGGGAATTGTAGCTCCAGATCACGAACTGAGCCGCTATATTGTACTCCCTGCGCTGAGCTGCTTTGCCCAGGCCAGGCCAGCTCAAAAATAAAACCATCAAGAGGAGACACTTGATGAGAACAGCCATGGTGCAAATTCCCATTGATACTTATGAGCCAAGAGACGCATGAGGTTTCAGCCGCTCTTCCAACTGCAGCTTGCAGCCTCCTCAGGGAAATGCATTCTCTGTGGGTGGTGTTGCAAGGGCCAGTGGGACTAATGACGCCCGGGTCATTGCTCTTTTCCTCCTCTGCCTGCCTCTCCGCACTACTGACCAGATCCTGGAGGAGATAAGCAGCTGCTGAATGTGCCTCCTCTGCACCTTCTCTGTGGTCTATGGATGGTTCCTCACACAGGTGGAGATGGCATCCAGGGCATTCATGAGGCAAAGCTGTACATATCTGAAAATCCAACATCAGCCACAAAATCTTGGGTGCAATTTTAAAAAGTGGTGAATGACACAGCCATTCCAAGGTGCTGCTTGGGCACTTTGACTGGGTTGTCCTTTTGCAGCGAGATCTGGAAAGGGGGGGGGGGGTAAAAGGAGGAAAAAGGCTATGGCAAAAACCAAAAGGGGTGCAGGGGTGACCGAGCCAGTGAGAGTTGCTTCGAAGTGTTGCCTGGCATGTGTTTGAGTTACTGTCCTTGGGAAGAACTCTGCAAGAGCACAGCAAGGGACAGTGCGGGGAGGGGTTGCCAGTCTTGCCAGGCAGCTTGCTTGCTGCTTCTGTGGACACATAACAGGATTCATTCCAGGTTTGGATGGCAGAACAACCCATCACAGGCACCACAATCCCCGAAACAAGCAGTGGATTAGCAGGGTGGCTCATTGCCCCCAAATAAGCACCCTTCAGAAAACTGTCCAGATTTGGAAGACATACTAAATCACCATGGCTAGTTAACCCACAGTGGGTTTCTGTGTTGTGAGAACTCAGGATCTTTCTCCCTCTGTCTCCTCGCACCTTTTTTTCCTGCCTAGTGAGCTGCTGGTGAAGAGATACTTTGCAAACAGGCGGCTTTTGAAAACAGACCCTTGTCCAAAGCACATTGTCTCTCAGTTGAGCAAACTCAACGTTTCACCAATCAGCATTTGGTCAAATTGCAGCAAGAGCTTCCCAGTAATTGAGAACATGAACTCATGCATAGTTCTAAGTGCCAAAATAAAAGAAAGGTATGTGACATTACAGTGTGGAATATTATGAACACTTTCCCTTCTTTCTGAGTGAAACGGGGGGGGGGGGAGTGTATTTTCATATGTTGATTTGTATTTAACAGATGTGCCATGGAAAAATAAGATTGCGCTAAGGAAGACCTATAGACCCTCAGGCCCCTGGGGATCAAACCTTTGCCTCCGGGAGGTCCCGACTTCCATAGCCCTTCCACTGGCTCTGCACCCCTTCTCACCACCACTGAACATTTGATCATTTCCCAGCATTTGTGCTCCCCTCCCCCCCAGCTGTTAAAGGTTTAAATACTCCTACTACAGTTTACTTACTGGCAATAAGAAATTCAAGTTACTATATGCTAGTAAGGGGATTTGCATTACTATATGCTCCTTCTCTTTCACTGTTGGTCCTGCCCACTGGGACTCCTGACAACGGTTTCTGCAAAATGGAATTTGGCTTTTGGGCTGAAAAAGCTTCTCCCCCACCCCTAGTGCAAACCTTTGCTATTGTAGTCTTAAACGGCAGACAATGACTTTCTGTTTATAAAGTACTCAGCATCTTTCTCTTTAATTCATGTAGGCAGGTAAAATAGAAGTAAAACTATTATCATATTATTTGCTTGTTAAGGAACAAATTTAAAGGTCTCTCTATCTTCATATTCTGTTCCCACTGTGCATTCGGTGTCCATGGGAAGGCCACAAGTAGGACATGAGTGCTGACTCAGCAAGGACTTAGCCATGACTAGCAGCCTTTACTAACCTTATGCTCCACAAATTTGTCTAATCTCCTTTTAAAAGCATTCAAGTTTGTGGCCATCACAACATCTTGTGGAAATGAATTCCAAACCTGAACTGTTTTCTGTGTGAAGTACTTCTGTTTGTCTCTCCAGAATTTTCCACCAATCCACTCTAGTATTATGTTAGGGGGAGCAAAATGACCCCCTATTCCACTTTCTTCATACCATGTGTTTGCACACCTCTTTCATGCCCACCATTATTTTGCCTTTTATTCTAAGCTGAAGAGCTAACTTGGGAGTAAAATTCATCAAATGAAGATTGTACTTCTGAATACACAAGCGTAGGGTTAGGAGATTTAGTGTGACAGATGCTTCTGCAGGCAACAACCTTCTTCAAACTTCCCCTAACCTGGGGATAAATTCCCAGCATTCCTAGCCATTGGCTGTGCTGGCTGGAAAGCTGATGGGGGCTGAAGCTCAAGATACATGGAGGGTATCAAGCTTCAGAACACAGGCCTACTTTCAATGCAAAGTAAAAAACAGCACAGGGAGGCTCTGCTTGTAAACAGAAAGGGTAATCCTGCAGCTGATATCTGGCCCCATCAAACTTTCCTCTTGGTGCCCTCATAACTAGTTCTGCTTTGTGTTTTCTACATTTTGAAACACCCATTTTTGCCACAGCTTACCAATACTAAAGTCTTAACCTGTTCTGGTTCACTGAAACTTCAAGTTTGACCCCCCAACATCAGAGGAATGATAGACCTAGGCCAGGAAGCCTGCTCGTTTCCCTGTCTGTACCATCCCCACCTGTCCCTAATACGTGCCACAGGTGTCATTTTATGTAAATATGTTACCAAAAATTGGTAGCCACACCGCTACACACATAAGGAAGGCATGAGTCTGGAACTAGATGCAACAGAAAAAAGTAGAAATTGTTTAACGTGTTTAATAAATAAGTCTATTTTTGAATGAATAAAAATAAAACAAAAGCTCTTTCTTGAAGGGTATGACCCTCTCATGGCTGTAGATTCATGCAATATTGACCAAAATGGAAACAAACATTGTAAGGACACAAAGCTAAAAGTCTATGTGTTAATACAGTCTAATTCTGTATTGGCTTTTTCCAACAATAGGCTTACAGTTAAACAATAATTTATTAAAAGTCACTTGCTAACCATCAGGGCCAGCCAAAGACATTTTGCTGCCTGCAGCACCTTTCAGCCACGGAAAGCAAGTGGACTGATGCAGCCAAATCTTGCTTCAACACTGACGATGGGAAGCATTCTCTTCTTCATTTGAGAGCATTAGGACAGCTTAGGGGTACAAGACAGGCTGCCTGGAACACATGCCTGTTCCTCGAGCAGAGAATGACCAGGTGGACATTGTCAGCGCTCCATCTGCACAACCCAGCAAGAGGCCTACCTTAGCTGAGTCGGCCCAGCTCATCACTGAGAAAATCAGTTGAAGTTACAATTAAGGAAAAACAAAAAGAGGATTTGATTAAAATAGCTGATTGTTTGGAAGAAAAGCTGAATCTTATAATTAATCCATGAGTTAAAAGTGCACATTGTATCCTACCCTTCTTCCATCCAGTCCAGCACTGCTAAATCTTAGTTAAACAACGAGGTATCCTCACAGTATTTTGTGGGCCCAACTGTATGACAATTCACTGTTCGAAACCTTGTCTTATCTGGTTGAAACTGCTTGATGGTACGAGACCTTCTCATTAGGTAGAGATACACATTGCAGGACTATTGAGGTAGCCAAAACACATATTTGTGAGAGAGCAAAAGAACTCTCAAAAAATGTTTACTGTCAGCCAGGGTAAACATAACTGGGGTGACCATTGATCTTACTTGCTTATAATTGGAGGGTAGTTTTAGAAAGTTGAAAGGAAGACTATCCCAGATAAGCCTTTTAACTATCCCTTCATACCAGGGCTGGGTGGATGAGCGAATCTAGCAAAGAGGTTTTTCTGATTCTGAGACTGATAAATATAGTCGAAGATAAATCATGAAAAATGCCACAGACGGATGTGTTTGCACAGAAGAAGAACTACACGACACCAATGATGCCCAAAAAATCAATTCAGGCCATGTGACTAGTGTGCACGTAATGTTCTTGGAAAAGAAAAGTTTTATTTCCTCCTACCGTTTTGGCAAACAAAAAGTTAATATTTACCAGCAGGAAACAGCCTGGAGGTTTCAGAGGAATTTACATGGGTTCTAGTGACATGCCAGGTTGATTGGAATGGTTTTCTAACTCCTGGCACAAAAAGCATGCTTGATCTTAGCCAAAAGGCCGAGAAGTGATACTCCTGGCACAAAAACCGATTACTACTAGAGTTTCAAACCATGATCCTTCCAATATTTTCCTGAAAATCCAGAGGCACATTAAACAAATGCTTAGATGTTAAGTGAGGAAGTATCATTTCAAACAGAAACTATTTCAAGAAAAGGGAAGGTGTGTTCAATTCCTGTCTAAATGTAACAGCAGCAATTCACTGCACCAAACAAAGGGAAAAGAATGGAAATAATCATTTATCTGTGCCTGAGACACTTTTTCTCCCTCCACCTTCATATTTTTAACCATTGGAAGGAAAGGGTTAAATGACAAGAAATTAAGAAAGACTGTATTGTCAGGTTTCAATACATTTGGCTGGCTGGTTCGGCTCAATAGACCTCTGTGTACACAACACTAATCTCAGTACCAGAGAGTATCTATTCTAGTCTCACATCTAATAGACAAATATTGGGACAGGTGCTATTTTCCCTCTGACTTGCAAGAAGTAGAATTAAGGAACAAACATTCCAGTTTCTAGAGAAAAAAATAGCTTTAGAAACTTGGATATTTTTTTGCCATTTATATTAAAGTTCTGACAGTGGCAGGGATGCTTGAAAAGATGTAAATGCTAGCTGGTACAGGCAATTGAACAATCTGCCATTGGGTTCAGTTATGGACTGAAAAATTTCCTTCCAACTGTAGAATTGTAGCTAAAGTTTTTCCATCAGAAGACATCCAAAACGTTCAATTATTTCTACATCTTGACAATATTCTATTGACGCAAATGGTCTGTTGGGTGGAAAGCAGCTGCTTCCTCTTCCTTCCAGCTACAAAAGTAGGAAGGAGCCAGTGCCTGGAATCCTACTCAGCATTCTTTTATGTGCTTTCACTTCCTAGCTCAAGGATGGCATGACCTAGGTCAATGCTCCAAGATCTGGGCATTTCATACTTAACAGCTAAGGAAAACTTCTGGTTTTGCAGAGGCTGCTGCAGTATGATAGCCCATGCATGTACAGAAGACATAGAAAGGGCGCGTAACCCGACAGGTAGGGAATGTAACCACCTCCAACACCATGCACACAACAAGGCCCTTGTCCTGTAGGGTTACATCTCAACCTGCCACCCATTAACTATCACAATGTACTCCCCAATGAAAAGAGTGGGAAACTAACAAATGCTTAAGTTAATCAGATCCCATTTTCCACTAGCAATTTCTCAAAACAGGGCAGGGAAAATAATCTGTTCATTTCCTGTATCAGAACATACCATATACCCTAGTACTAGTAGGGTGTGTGTGTGTGTGGGTGGTGTGGTTGTTTCAATTTTAATCTATACAACTGCCAACCCTCAGTTACAAATATTGTCGTAACTGACGCTAGGAGAGAATTTCATCCTAGGGTTAATCCTGCTTGAAAATGGCACTTGCTTGGCACAGGAGCTCATTTTCCCATAGTACAAATCTTCAACCCTTATTTTGATATGTAATGTTCTTTAAAGGAAGACGCCTAAGTCGGCTATTAGAATATATTGAAACCTTTCCGTTATTTACGATGTGCCCAGCATTTTCCCTGTGCATTTAGATTTCCATTTTGTAATTTCCTCTGGTTTCTCCTCCAAAGTTTCATGACAAAGCAATGAGAAATATCATTTAACAGTGCAGAGCCAACATACCTGAACAGTTTGGGTGTTAGACCAAGGTTAGGCTCATGGCATCCACTGTATTTCCTACCAGAACCCCAAGAATTCTGAGTCCAACAATTTCTTTTGATTAGGAGAAATATATGCAATTCAGTCCTTCCACACAAAATGAATGCCCTTGGTTACCCTGCCACCCAAGCTTTCTTCATTTCAGCATTCATTTTGTTGTGGCCATTATTTAAAAACTGGTAGTCAGAAATACTTGCTGTTTTACTTCAAATGACCCAGAGATGTTAATCTAGCTTCTGTTCATGCCTATGTCAATGCTTTTTGAAAATAATACCAGTAAAATCCTTTAAAAAATGTTAAAACTGTAGTAATTTTGAAATCATTATTTCCAGCTAGCTAAGATTGGGTTGGATCCATGAGCATATGGATAGTTAAAAAGTGTGATGGGTTACAATTGAATATAGAAAGCTGCCTTTGCTGAATTTAGATAATCTTACAGTACTATCAGGACACAAGTGGCACAGATAAACCACTGAGCTGCTGGGCTGATGATCAGGTCAGCAGTTCGAATCCACACAACGGGGTGAGTGCCAACTGCTTTGTTTCAGCTTTTCCCTACCTAGCAATTCGAAAGCATGCAAATACAAGTTTATAAATAGGGACCACTTTGGTGAGAAAGGTAATAGCATTCTGTGTTTAGTCATGTCACCCACATGGCCATGGAAGTGTCTTTGGACAACACTGGCTCTTTGGCTTACAAACGGAGATAAGCACCGGCCCTAGAGTCAAACACAACTAGCATGCATGTGTGGGGGAACCTTTATATTACAGTACTATCAGCATTGACTGGAAGTGGCTTTCTAGGGCTTTAGGCACAATTTATTCCTGCCCCAAGCTGCATGCTGGGAATCTAATGTAAGGTCTTTTGCATGCACAGCGTGTTCTCTACAAACTTGCCTTACTTAGTAAGATACATGGAACAGCAGCAGCTAGAAATCTAATTGATGTAGACTTCTTTTTAAAAACCACAATGTCTAACCTAAGTTCATTGTTGCATTATGTTAAAAGAAAAACATAACAACTCTGTATCCACGGCACAGGAATGAAAAAAGTGGTTTATTTTTATTTTATTTTTTTACACATAAAGGTCTTTATTAAAAAGTAAGGCTGGTAGTGGAATTTTATTTTGATGCATAAACTTGATAGAAGTGGTACATTACAGAAATTGTATACAATGGTGGATAAACAAGTCAGTCACATATACGGGTTACTCTTTTTTAAAAATTAGGATCAATAGTTACCATAAGTATTATTTCCCCCAATTACATTGTAAAGTGTCTTGTGTAATCATATTCTATTGTTGGAATGACTGCTTGTACAAATTTCAAAAAAATCAGAAGATACCTGAATACTTAATTAAGGAAAATGACTGTGCAGGTTAACCACCATAAGTCTGCTTTGAACTGCACAGCAGAGAAGCATACACACTTTTACACGCTTTTCAACATCTCACCTTTCCTCAAAATAAATTTGGTGTTTGATCTTGACAAAAGATCCAGATAAGAAACCAGCTTAATAGAATAGCTGAATGGCAAGAGCACATTCTCCACTGTGTAGAGAAGTCTACTGAACTATTTGTTTTGGCTGAGAGTTATTGCTGCAACTGGAGACAGCTGGAATTTGCTGAATGCCAGAAATAGTCTATTGAGGTTTTCCCTACTCCCATCACTGCTTTTGTTAAAATCAATGCAAGTACAGACAAAGCACTGCTCTAAGGAACATATTATTGTTTCTGTTAACAGGTATGAAAACTGTGGATTTGTTCTAGAATACAGTAACATACATCATCACACAGCTACAGTGAGTCAAAACTGAGACATGAAACTTTCTCTCAATGCAGTTGCTTTTCTTTTCAGTCACCTAGACTATTTGAGTGCAAGCAGGCCACCTGAAATTTAATAATGTAGGGCTGTGAACGGGTAAGAGGTGGGTGAGAAGCAAGTAAATAAGAATGGGGAAGGAGAAGTAGGGAACCCATGCCGTATATTGGATCTGGATGAGACAACAGATGAGACCACTCTAAACTTTTCTCTGAATCAATAGTTAAGATATAATAAAAGGATACATATGCACTCCAAGTTCTCCCCCACCTTCTGCCACAGTTTCAATTATTTTCTTCATCACTTCTGCATGCCTGAAAATAAATCATGAATACTTTTCAGTGCCAATGTAAGCATTATTCTATAACTCAGCAAGAACAAAATAAATGCCAGCTAAGTATCCTGGCAACAGAAAGATGCAATGGCTTTTCCCATTTCAAGCTACTTGGGGTCTTGTTTTGGCAATAGCGTTGTATGTCTCCACCTGCAGTCCTTCCCCTACTGTTTATCATAAGCAGCAGCACAGTCATAGAAATAATATGGCAACACAAGAGAACTGTAGGCCAGTGTAATTTCTGCCATGTGCCAACTACATTTGTAAGGCTGATATTACAACAAACCCTTTCAAATTAAATGCAGACCAAGCATGCCTAATGCATGCTATCATTCACTCCATCAAATAAATCCATCAACAGTACCTGGGTGGTTTGCATTACTGATCCAAACTGACAGCCACACAGAACTTCCACGAAACACAGCACTCCAGCTGGTACAACCCACCCTAAGAACTTAGCTAAAGGAGTGAGAGGGACCTGCCTATTGCATTAAGTGCTGCAAGGTCTCACTTATCCCATTTCTTTATTGCTATTCCAATACTGATCTATAGCTTAATGCCTCCCTCCATCCAAAGTAGTTCTTCTTGCATTTTCACATCTAGCAGTCTTCATTCCATTAAGTACAGAATGTCTTGGTGCATAGCCTCTTCATCATAGACCCTTTGCATGTAATTAGCAGGATCAATAGCTCATGTAATAACTGAGGTAACAGGCTTTGGATAAAATTACTAAGCACCCATAGCAGCTCCAAATAAGCTGGGAGTAAGCACTTTACTCCCAACAGTTTCCTAAGGCTGCTTCTCAAAGCAGACCCTCATAAACCTCCTGGAGTTTGGAAAATACAAGCAATGGATATACAGACAGCAATGAAACCAGTTTAAACACCCTGTCATGTAAACATGTTTTAGCAGGTTTTATGAGAAAAGTTGGCTTAAAACTGGGAAGAAACCGCTTTGGACTTAATGTAATTTGGCATCTTTATGAACTAATGGAAATTTTACCCAAAACTGCTTAATCTCAAGAATATTTTAAAACATGGCTCAGAAAAGAGAAGAATCCTTGAAGACTGACTCCATTGAGGTAACATAAAGTCCACACCTGAATCTTAATAGATATTCCTTTTAAGCCCTTCAGTTCAACCTGAACAACAGGTTAAAAAGTGGCTGAACAGCCTCTAAGAGGCAATGCCCTTTGGCATTATGCTACAGCAGCCAGCTTGAGTTATTACAGGCTTCCTTTTCCTGAGTTATGAATATGCATCTTTTCCAGTACAGCAGTATATCCCTCAGCCCTACTGCTGACAGAAATGGCCCTGTGCTGTTACATGTCCATCAGGTCCCTACAAGAACAGCATCTGTTTTCCCTCTGATCATCCAGGCTGCAATACTCCACAGAACTCTCATAAGAACACAAGAACCTATGAGCTATGTTGATCCAGCCCTATGTTGATTTAGCCCTTGCAAAAAGCCTCTAGCTGAGGCTTTTTGAGAATGAGGCGGCATATAAATGTTCCAAATAAATAAATAAATCTGTTCCCCCAGTGGCCAGCCTCAAAAGACAAGGGCAACAGCACCCTCCTTGTCATATTCTCCAGCTACTAGCATTACTGAAAGGCATATACTGGAGGTAATATGTAAATATAATGACTAAGCAACATTGATAACCTTATCCTCCATCGGTTTGTCTATTCTAGTAGTCTTCCAGACGCTGCTGGACTCTTCCATGGCCACTGGTCATTGTGAATGAGGCTGATGAGAGTTGGCAGTCCAGCATGGTAAACGAGGGTGGAACCCTGGGAGGGTCCAGCCCCATGCTGCTGCACGATTACTGCTGCCAAGACCATTCTTACTTCTGAGCAAAAGGTGTTCTCTTGTGCTGTGGCCAAGAGGCTTACGATTCAGAACTGGACTCTAGAAGTGAACCAAAAGGAAGCACGCTCCTAGGTACCACATCCACTAAAATTTCAGAACTTTTACACTAGGAAAAAACCCATAGGCTGATCACTCTGAATTGAAAGCTGCACCAACTTTGACAACTTGACCTAATTGCACTGTGCTTCTCAGAAGGATTCAACAAGAGTGTCAGGAATTTAGAATGAAGACAAATGCACGAATTTATTAGGAAACCAAGATGTGACATCATGTATAAGCAGATACACATAATTTGGGGAAAACCCATCTCTAGGATAGCTGTTTGCCATCTTCCAGAGAGATAAAGTGGTGGGGAAAAAACCCAGAAAAACAAGTTTAGTTGGTTAGACCTCTACTGGTGTTACCTCACTGGGGCTTTCAAATGCAACAGAGCCCAGGGCTGACTTATTTTAAAAAATAAGTTTTCCTAATGCTTTTAGGCATGGCTTTCAGTCAGAATTAGAGTAGCTTAAGCTAAGTGCAAGACAAAACGATTTTAATAGGTTGGGAAGCTGCTCCGATTACTAATACAAAGCATCAACCATTTCATTGAGCCAAGTAGCCCAAATATTTCATCAATTACTTTATATTATATTCTATACATGATTAGAAAAACACATGCTGAAGAAATACCTGCATGGATGAACTGAGCACATTGGAGGTGGAGGAAGATGGGGATGGTTTTCAATTGTCACAGTCTTTTTAACATGATCTTGACTAATATCTTCATACATATGCTCTACAGTTAATGGCTGCCGTTGCTATCAGAGCAAAAGTGAGTGAAAAAAGATAAATAATTCAAATTCCTCTGTTATTAGGAAAAAGTGTTAGTGAAATCAAATATAATTTTATCATACAAAGTGGGAAAACTATAGGTTTGAAAAGTGACTAACAAATGCACTGAGTAAATTAATTGTATAGAATTTGCATTGCAAGCCTCATCATTTGTTTATAAAAGCAAATAAATTAATTTTAATTTCTTTTATACAAGGGTTGCTGACATGCTCAAGGTCAATTATGACACCCATGGCTGGCCCAGGATTTAAACACAGGTCTCTCATATACAGAACAGCCACATTTATGCATTAATATACCTCTGACTTCATCTAAGCAGAGGGCAAGGCCAGCTGTTGGATTCAGACAGAGAAATCCATATCTTGAGATCTGAACTTTATGTATTTTAAAAAGCAAGCTTCTAGCCCTTAAAGCAAAAATACAGCTTTAGAGGTCTGTGCAGAAAAAACTGCTAAAATTTCAAAACCCAATGGGGAGAAGTGAGAGAGCGGAATTCTAAGGAAAATATTTCAGGGACTTTCAGAACACTTTGCACTTCTATATGGTTCAAACTGAAAATTATATTCAAAAGTTATTGTATAGATTTTTTTTACCAATCTGCGTAATGTATACTGATCGCAGAGTCTATTTTTCCTTGGTGCAGAATTTAGCATATCTGAGGAGATTTTTTTTAAATGCAATGTATACCCAGTTCTGCTTCTAAAATGCATAGTCATCTTTGTTGTTGTTCTTTCATTCACTACCAGCTGAACACAACTCACAGAGAGAGGAGCAAAGAATAAAAACATTTTGTTTTCTTCTTTGTGTTGATAAAAGAAGTGGAACTTGGTAAGCAGGGTTCCCCAGCAGCAGCTGGAAGTATATGTAGTAACTCTAGGGCATTTTTCAGCCATAGCCTTTAGGATGGATCCCATCATCTTAGTTTAGAAGGAAAAAAAACCTGTGCCAATTTATTGCCTCCTATATGACTTCAGTAAAGGCAGGCTGTTTACACCTTTAAAAAGTGCACAAAGCAGACATTGCACTGTAATGCATCGTTGGCTTCTCAGAGGAAATCTGAAGTTCATGTTACTCACTGTAAAGGAGATACTCAAATCCATGCTTTGCACATCAGCAAAACTGGAAAAACTGCTACGCAAGACCCTTGAAATCTACTTGCCCCCTCTTTGTGTCAGCTCTAACAGATCTGTGGTCGTGTACTTAACACATCCACAACTTTCACCACCACACATAACTGAAGCTGTCACTTCCAGGAACATGCATGAAGATAACATGCTACTGAAAAGCAGCCATAGACTGTATGCACAAGAGAGGACCACACATACCAAAAAACTCAGACATATGTCAGCAGCTACTTCATTGATGCATAATTAAAAAGCAGTTTCTATAGTCAACTGAAACCAGAAGAGTAAGAAACAGAATGTTGTTTCCTTGTTGCCTATTTGAACACATAGCTAGAACAGAAGATTTCATTCAGGGGCCAAATTACTTTTTAGCGTTTGTTTCTTGGTCTTTTATCTGAGGCTCATTACCAGAACACAGTTGTAGGCAATGCCTGGTCTTCCAGATGGTTGCTATCCCCTGCTATAACCTATTGTCAAATCACTTCACTAATGGGTTCTAGGCAGCTTTAAATCAGGAGAAATAAAGGATGTACCTCGTCATAGCCAAATAACCAAAGCCTTGGTGTTTGGTAGTATTTGTCATATGTGATGTAAAGGTCATATGTCCTTGTCTGTAGAATAGCTTCTTCTCCACCTCCAACTTCAGCTTTAGCCTTGGCAGCTTCCACTATTTTTCTTGTATCCAACGTTGCCTGCTCAAGATTTATGATAAAAGTTATTAATTCAAAACTGTCAGCAGCTATCTACTCCCCACCAATTCAGTATCTACATCTGTTAGATAGTGCAGTATGTGCAGACCACACTTTTAAACTTAGTTCCACAAGCCATTTTAAGGAGTATGCTATGGTACCCAAGTTGAAGTCAAAAGAAGCACTACTTCTGTGCCAGAAGTACAGAAGCACTCACATCATCTATCTCCAGCAGTCCACTCTCTTCATATTCTGAAAGAGTAATATAAAGAGATAATTTACTGTTTATTATTTTTGTTGTTCTGGTCCTTTCCTGAACAAGCAAAGCAGGCAGCAATTTTTATGAACACATCTCAAATTAAAATATATTTGGTTAAGAATTGTTGTTAGCTTCCACCTCAAATACTTAATGAACTGCTGTGCTGTTACAGAATGTTCACTAACTTTGTATATAGGGGAAATGACAGCATGAGGATATGAAGAGGTTGAGAACCTGATGGAGAGTCCAGGAGGCAAATGAGGTGAAGATGAAAGAAAATGGATAAGGAGCCAACCCCACCGCCCCCACAAAATCCATGTACCATTCACTGCAAAAAGGGAAATCCATGGCTATATTGGACAGCATTCAATGCTATCACTCCATTTGCTCAATTGACATAGTGCTACCATAATCAGCCTCTAATGCTCCACTAATAGTGTCAGCTGGTGCAACAGGTTACCTTGGTGCCGTGCTTCAGGTTCCTTACACTAACATTATATCAAATGTGTAAGCAAAGCAGCAGCACTGCCCATTTATTTATATTTATTACTCTTTGGGGGAAGGAGCTGCTTCCTCCAAAGCAGCTGATCCAATGGCACTGTGGCCTTGTGAGACCTGTTACGTGGAAAGAGTGGGCTGTCTTGTCTGGGTCCACATGAGGAGTTTCACAACTGTATAGGTATTTGAACATGATCTATGCCCAGTGCGCCAAACATGACAACTTATCGGAAGCAAGAGAACCTCCCACTGAATCCTCCTGTCTCTGAATTAAATTTACCTCTACAAATCCCACCTATACACTTATTTGCCCTCTCTATAAAGACCTATTCTCTATAAAGAATGGTGGGAGAACATTATAAAGTTTCCCCACCATTATTTTTTTCCCAATCTGCTTTAGCACTCCCCAAAATTAACAGTTACTATGTTCTTCCTAATGTTGATCCTTGAACTCAGCAGTTAGAACCCATTACTTTTTATCAAGAAGGGAATATATGGCATGTATTTTCATGCCTGCAGCAAAGTTTGCAACACTACCCTAGAAAAAATCCTTCACAGAAAGATCTCCATGTACAAAATGGATTCTGTTCAAAGATACCGTATTAGTGTGATTAACCTACCTTGCTGTAGTGAAAGACACCTTCAAAGAACAGATAATTACCTTCCATATCTGCTGCCTCTCCCTCATCATCATCATCATCTTCACAAGAACCTGTATGTTCTGCTAACTTTGTACTGTCCTGTGAAGACAAAAATGCAATTACAGTTTCACTGCTCAACAGAACTTCTAGATCAGAGTATACATTGGCAAAGCTGAGCACACACAACACAACAATGCTATGTATGAGAAATCTGTGACACTAGAATAAACTACTAAATCAGTCAAGATCAAAATACAAAGACCGAAAATATAATCTGGACCTCTGTGTACTGCTCTAGTTTTTCTTGTATCAAGTAACTTTGTTTTTTACATCCACATCTTAAGATAACTAGGAGTTTGAGAGGAAAAGTCTTTTTTACATAATAAAACTTGCCTGTTGAACATCATATAAATGGTACTGAAATATTGGATGTTTATGGCACTAATACTGTGTCTCAAAATAGAACTCACCCTTTTTGTAGCTAGCTAGCTATATAGTGCATTCTAATAATATTGCCTTGACAAACCATGTAGCATCTTTAAGACACAGTCGCGTGACAACATTGCATAGAGTGTCCAATCATGTTATATTCTGCTGGTACATCTGAAGACAGCACCCACTGAGAATGCAAAGATTGCCCTTCTTAATTATTTTGGCTTGAAACATGACTTTGTTCCAGCCGCTGGAAGCATTCCCTGAGCACAACTCACCTGAAGGTATATCTCTACTGGCAGAAGAACGAGGCAACCTTTGCTGATTACCCTTCAACCTGAAGCCCCTTGCATCCTCTAAACAACATCTGCTGTGGGCTGCAGGGAGAGGGGGAATGGGGGAAAAAAGCACTGTCTCCCAACCTTTCCTTAAAAATGTATGTTAGAAATGTTAAGCTTAAGACCAAAATGTTTGCCAAGTGTGAGCAAAGCACAGCTCAGCCATTTCTTAGCCTGACAAGTCTGAGCAAAGATAACTCACTCATCCCCTTATCCAAGAGCTCTGCATATTCAGTAGTTTGGGTTAGAAGCCTAAGCACAAGTTAGCCTGTAGGCAAATTAAAACATCTTACCAAGTCATTAACTAAGCCACCAAGTATAAGGACCAGAAACAGACTCTGAATCTCTCTCTGCCCTAGTTTACTGTTTTAGAATCAGCCCTCCATAAGAGCTGCATCTGGGTGCTTCAAAATATTGGTGCTTTTATCCAGTATGCTTGATAATAATCTGCAGAAAAGTCTTCCTTCAATCAAGAGAGATGAGGTCATGTTAGGTTCCAGCATATCACTCCAATCTATGGGTAGCATAACTGGAATGCATTATAAATTAAGAAAGGGGCCTATTGCAAGAAGTACACTATGTTAGGTTTACACTTTAGAACTCTTCCAGCTCATTACTCACAAATTCACAAGTTAATACCTTGCTCTCCACCGTGATCTCCTTAATAGATTCTGTCACTCCTGTAATGCCTGTTGAGAGCACAGATAGAGTCAGAACTAGGGATAAACCTGCTGATGCTTTATCTACACCATTCCACAAATCATTGTAATTCAGAATGTTCAGTGGCTGTTTTTTTAAATGGTTAAGGATTCAGATTCATTGAGGAAGGCTAAAACTTGAATATGGTCTCTACAGCTGCACAGTTACATGCTCTGGAGTACTTTAAAGAATACGTGAGAATGGAAACACAATCTGAGCATTTATAAGCATGATGTGCAAGAGGAATACGCAAGAAAAGAACTACAATACCCGCATTGTGAAAAGTGTCCACCCATCCTCCATCTCCATCATCTTCTTCTATAATTGCTTCCAGTTCATCTGAATATTCCATCTGTTTACACCGCTTGTAGCATGGCACTACAAGAGTACACAATGTTCACTCATACAATAAATCAACTGGACAAAAAGTCTATTAACACTTTTGGCATTATATATTTTCAAATATTTACTGCTGATGTGTAAACTTCACATCTCTTAACCACCATTTTTGCAGCATACTTTATCTATATTTGAATGTGCAGAGCTGAAAATAGCTTAGCTAGCAGCTGATTAAAGTATATGCAAGATCCCTGGGAGTCTGTACAGATAATAATGTATGACTTGTAGAAATGCAGTGACAAGACAGGCAAACATCCTCTGAATTTTAGTAGAGCAGTTGATTTAGTGTCGCACATAGGAAGCACAACTTAAAAAAGAGAAAATGCAAGTATCAACACATACCCAGTAAGATGGGTAAACACTACGTGTGGAAACAAAGGCCATCTAGTGAGATCACTAGGGGCTGGCCTTGGAACTTATTGTTCACCTGATGTTTGCTTCCAGATGGAAGGGACCTAACTATCATTCAGAGAGCATGATGCAACTATTCCATACTTTCTTATTTAGCAGACCTTCCCCAGAAAGAAAATATGGAAGCAGAGGTGGATAAGTGGAGGGCTACAAGGGGAATATGTTTCCTGGAACCAATCTAATATTTTGTGAATGTGGCAAAGCAATTGAACAACAGAAATATTTTCTGGAAGCCACTGTTTAATCTTCTGCCATGGAAAAGAGCACATTTGAATACCTACCTACCTTATATTCCCCTACCCCAGAATGTCTAAGGCACTACAGACCACATTAAAGCATTAGCAAGTGCACTACATAAAGTTCACACTGTTCCTAGATGCAGCAGTGACATTAATAAGTTTGTTTTGTGACAGTAATAAGTTTGTTCAATTATAGGTTTTGATGTAAAAGCATATACATCTGTGGCAGGTATTCACTTCATCACAATCACAATACAAAGCCAGACTTACCATTTTTAGTGACCAAAAACTGTTTATCTGCTGGGAGATAAGCCTTGACCTTTAATTCTTCTCCTGTAGCCCTTAAAAATACAAAATGAGAATTTAATAATCTGCAAAGAGGAGACTAGCTTTGCTTCTTATAGAGCAGTACTATACTTCTGCTCATGCTGGGAAAAAACCACTATGAACAGCTAAAATAGTGGAGGGGTATTCAAAAGAGAAAAGCAATCTAAGAAGACAAAGCCCCTTTCAGCAAAGCGTGTTAGTGTTTCAGATCGAAGAATGTATTTCTATATATTAAACTCAAACAACATTCTCAGACTGCTATTTCCCTTGGTTCTTAATATTTTTCTGCCCAACTTCCAGTGCATCAAGGTTATTAGCAATCAGTTCCTTCCCACTTACATTGGCTGCCTTATGCTTCCAAACCCAATTCAAGGTGGTGGTCTTGACCTATAAGACCCTACACAACTCAGGATTGAAATACCTGATAGAGCATCTCTTTTGTATGAACCTACCCATACACTATGGTCAACATTAGAGACCTTCTTCCAAGGAAGGGTTGTGGGGGGCAACAAGAAAGAAAGCTTTATAATTGTGGAACCCTCCCGTCATTGAAATTCATTAGGTAACATAAATGTCTTTCTTTTCTTTTCTTTTCTTTTTTGCACCAGTTAAAGACTTTCTTCTATGCCCAGGCATTTGATGACTTTTGATAGAATAGTTTAGTTTCTTAGCAGAATTTGGTAGCTTTATTTTCAGGTGTGCTTCATTTGCTTTTAAACTGCTTTACATTTCTGAACATAAAGGGTTTTATATTGTTTCTTATCATGTGATGAAACGCCCAAATAGCATTGGCTACTGGATGGCACAGAAATGCAGTTAATTTACATAGGGAAAGTAGCTGCTCAGAGCCTCATGAAAGTTCTAACAGGCTGGGATCTTTCAAGCCCACTACTCATAAAATCCTAAAGAATTAGTGGCTGGGATTCTGTGTTTGCTTCCTGTTGTAGAATTACCTGAGTCAAGTTCAGCCAATGTAGGGAGGGAGATTTTTCCACATTCTTCTTCCTTCCTTTTAACTCCTCCTGCCCCAAATTCCATCTTCTTGCCCAAATCCACCCTCACAAAGGCACTGAACAACTATTTTATATACCCTGTGTCTCTTTGCATGTACCTTTAATCAGAGAAACAAAAACTGAATGCCTAGAACTTGCAACAACCAAGAGCAGGTAGTTTGGCCAGACAAAGCCACATTCATGAGATGAAAAATTGAAATGAATGCCCGTGTTGAATGAATTTCCTACCCATGTGTATAGTATGAAAGAATCATTAATTAATTTTATGGGGCTGTTAAGTATAGGCTTGACATGCCTATGATAAGACTTAATTGTAACTATTGCTAATGAAAGAAATTTATTATTTTGTGATCTTTCTAAAAAAATCTAATTTAAACTTCAAAAATTCAATTTTTAAAATCTGTTTTCATCTACCAAGTCTATTGCCAAAGCAAAAAACTGGTAGAACTCATGCAAAAAAAAAAAAGGCCACAGTTCTTACATGTGTGTTACACAGAACCCATAGAATACACTTCGCTTTTGCCTATTTGCACACTCACTAATAAGGAATGCAATGTTCAGTGTGGAGACATGCTTACCCACATGTCCACCCACAGTACTCGGTTAGTGATACAAGTAGAACAGCCACATGCCTTGTTACAACATTCTTTCCTCTCGAAGGGGGTGTGTGTGACATGGCAAGGAGGATCATACAAAACAGGACGCACCATGTACCACCCTGATTACTTTATGCACACATTGTGGGAAATGTGCATGCATGCAGGATCAGCAGAAACAAATGTGTTAACCAACTCAAAGTGCTCTATAGAATCTTACTTACCATTGCCAAGTAGGACAGTGGTGAACTAAATGGTCTCCAGCTGCCACAAACTGCCAAAAAACAATGTGGTAGAAAGTTTCCATCAGATATACAGATAGAGTTCCACCAGCCTGAGTAACACTATTATAGACAGTGCCTATGCAAATTAAGAATGTGAAATCTGAAATCTACAGATGCCAGTTCAGTAATGTATCAGAATACACTGGCAACAGGATGAAAATACTCCTGGACAGATTCACTTACGTGGTGACCAAGCGGGGTAGGTGTCCCATGTGCACAAGATTTTATCAAAAAAGCTAGCCCCAAATGCGCCCCCCCCCGCAAAAATCACTCATTCAATAATCACAGCCAGCATATATCTTATTTAGTTAAGGATCTTCTTTCTAATAATGAAATAGTTGGGCTTGCAAGTCATGCTTATCTTCCTCAAGAATAAGCAGAGAGGTGTGAGTTGTTTGGTAAACAACCCAGAGTATGTCTGATAAGATGATTAGGCTTGTAATAGGTTGTTCTCCCCACACTTTCTCCTCAATCCTCTAGCCAGCTCTGGCTCATACCCAGGTCTGGTACATATCTATTATACATTGTTCTGAGAGCTTTTGGCTAAAGAATGGTATATAAAGTCTTTAAATAATAAATATCCAAGATGACTTTGCCACAGAATCCCCCATCTCCTTGACACAGTCCCCTCCCCACTCTGGTCATGATCCCTTTTCATTCCCTGAAATTCTTATTGCAGAAAACTCTGGTAAAAAGAAATCTTCTGTTCCTTCAGCATTCTGGAATTGTCTATGTGATAGAATAACAAAAATTAGAAGCTACATGATCATATTGAGAGGCAATGTACCACTAGCCTACTTGTGGGAGATGTACTATCCCTTACTAGGAATGTAGCAAAGCTGTTAGAATCATCATACTGAGGCTCAAAATGCATGTTATGTAAAAAGAAAGAGACTAGGATTTTGTAATATTTCCACATTTCCTTTTGTAAACCTCTTTGTGTAAGGTAACAGTTGATTGCATTCATTTTAAAAAGTGTCATCTTCTCACTAATATAATCCACAAAGCAGTTTCCAAACAGGATTTAAAAATAACTATAAATGTTAGTATTTTGCAGGATGTATCCCCAGGAAAACACGCTTCTCTGTCACCACATTTTCACAGTATGACAATTTTTCCAGGGAAAAAAATGTTTATTTTAACCATTAACTATATCTTAGCATCTTGTCCTCCACTTTGCACTAAAGGGAACCAGCAAACCAGAACAAGAACCTCATGCTTTACTGCTTTCAAAAATTATTCTGAAAAGCAAACAATTTGTAACATACCTCTTCAGGAGTGATAACCCCAGTTTCTTTAAACTTTGATTCCTACACAAAAAAAGAAAAAGATATCTGCAAATATTTGAAACTGTAGGTCTTAGAATTTAACTACAGTGGTGCCTTGGCTCATGAACGCCTTGGTTCACAACCAAATCGGGTCACCAACAAAAATGTCATGAAAATTTTGAGTTGATGTGCGAACTCCGCATTGGGTGGCAACCAAGATCGTGGCCATCTCCCCCCCCCCCGCCCCCCAAGTGGGGAGATGGCCACAATCACAGTTGTGTTCGTGCAGGGAAGACATAGAGGAGCTGACAACAGGAGAACTTGCTGAACTCCAGAGTGAGCAGCAGAAGGCACTTGCTGAGGAGGATTCCACTGAGGAAAGGAAGACAGGGAGGAGGTTAGCAGTGATGTGATACAATCCATTGTGAAAAAATGGAATGAGTGCCAGGATTTCTTTGAGAAGCACCACCCAACATAACTGTAATGAACAGTGTTGAATCTGATGAACAATAACGTGGTCTCTCATTTCCGAAGGGTTATGCAGCATAGGAAAATCAAGTGACTATAGACAGATTTTTCACCAAAACTGACCCTGCAGCTAAGAGACAAAGAAGAGAGGAAACCCCTGAAAGAGATCTCCCCAGTGTCCTTATGGAGGGGGACTTTCCCTCAAAACAATAACCTCCCCACACCTAGGTTAGTGTTCTCCACTGTACTGGACAGTACTTTGTTCTTTGTCACTTTGTTTCAAATTTTTCTGATTAAAAAATATAGTTACAGAATGGATTGACCTTATTTACATTGAACCTTATGGGGAAATTTGACTTGGTTTGTGACCAAAAATTGGCTCACAACCACAAATTGGCTCACAACCACATTCGGAGGGGCCAGAATGAATTAACCTTATTTACATGGAATCTTATGGGGAAATTTGACTTGGGTCACACCCAGAGTCATGGAATGGATTAAGTTCGTGAGCCAAGGTACCACTGTGTATGTATTATCCTGCTTCCCACCCATACCCATACTTCCTGGCCAGACACACATTTGGTGTAGTATTGCAGATTTTGAGTTACAAGTTTTTTTTCATCTTCCTTGATAGACAACAGTGAAACACATCAGAATATAGAACAATGAGAGATTATGAAAAAGTCATATAATCAAAATACACTTATCCGAAAACACAGAGCACCTGTAAAGAATCAAAATCATCACCATTAATTGGTGCTTTTACTGCTCAGACAGTGAAGAGCATATCAGTAAGACATTAAAAAAAATTACTGCAGATTCTCAGAGTGATCCAAGGAGACTGTTGATTCAATAATTTCAAGTTCCTTTTAACAGGCATAACATTTTCCAGGCTTGGTTACTTCCTCTGCTACCTAGTTCTGGTTTTTGAACTCTACCTGCCTAGGGGGAGGGGACACCAGTATAAGACATCAGTATATTATCTGTGGGCAGTATGTTATGAAATTCTGACAATTCTTGCTTAAACAACTTTTAACCTGTTGCTGACAGCATTAGGAATTAGTCTGGACATTTCATCCCAACATGCATGAAACATAAAGACCTAGTTCACACAATTACAGACGATCGAACAAGCCATGGTTCACCTAACTAACCACTTGGGACAGCCTTACCATGATGTCTGAACCTAGGCAGGATGGCTTGTTGGAGGGGGAAAATAACCCTTGAATTACCCAACAACAGGCGATGAGGTCAGATGACATGAGAAACCCCGCCCAGATCGGTAATTAGGTAACTGATTGGTCACCTTCTCCGAGGATTAAACAAGCTACTATGACCCTTAGTGACTCTGCAAACCAGCCCAAAATGTGCAAAGCTAATAAGCTTAGAAAAGCAATGCCTCATCCCATCTCTCTAAAATTCTACTGGCATACAATGCCAATTTGAGGGTGTTACTATGGTTTCCAATGGGAAACCCAAGGTACCAACTTTTTCAGCTAAGAACCCTTGACAAGTCACTGTCACTCTGCTTTTGTCTACATCAGGGGTGTCCAACCTTTTGGCTTCTCTGGGCCGCATTGGAAGAAAAAAAAATGTCTTGGGCTGCACATTAAATACACAAACACTAACAAAAGCTGATAAGCAAAAAAAAGTCTGTGCATAATTTTCGTGAAACCTGCCACCACAGATAAGCAAAAGAGTCCTCACATAGTCCTAATTATGTGGCACCCCGTTTGAAGAGTCTTTTAATATCGTTGAGCAAGTTCAAAGTTTGTGATCACTAATAGAGAAAAGGGCAACATAAAACTACTGGGATATTTGACATTGTATTAGAAACTAATGGATCAATATCTGGTTCAGTTGAAGTAGTTGCAATTCCCAGTGAGTTTTCAAGGTGCTCATTAGATATTGCGGTTCTAATTTTACTCTTAGTATGCATCATTCTTGAAAATAGTTGCTCACAAATGTAGGTGCTTCCAAAAACCAAAGACATGAATAAGGCATGATTGTGAAGCAAGGGATATTTGTCTCTGGGATGATAGGGCCTATAAAAGTCCACGATCAAAATTTTCTTTAAGTTGAATGTCAGACTGCAGCTCTATATATTCCATTTGAAAACTGGCAGGTAACATATTTATATCAACTGAAAATGGAGTCGCAAATATACCAAAATACTGCTTATTTTCCCAGAAATCTTGAAATCTGTTTTCAAATTCATGTGTCAAATCGAAAAGCAAGGCTACACATTTTTTGCTGTTCACAGGACTATGTTTAGCCAATGTGTCAAAATGTATAAAATTGTTTGCAACAGTAGGTTGAAAAATTATTAATAATAAGCTGCATTTCACTAGCCAAGTCACCATGAGCATATGTATCATCTGATGGTGTAAATTTGACTGTCTGCTCTTGGAAGATAATATATTAGAAGCTGCACACAGCTGTAAAACTGAAGCTACGTATGTGTACAAATAGTGAGAGCATAGGTATGTTTATTTTACGTGACATTGTGACATGACATTGTTGTCTACAAAATGTACACTGGAGAACTGCGCAATTGAGTTACCAAAAAAATTGAAAAAAAATCTCAGAATGTTTAAAGTAAGTTTACAATTTTGTGTAGGGCTGCATTCATAGACATTCTGGGCCACATGTGGCCCCTACCACGAGTTGGACACCCCTGGCCTACATCCTAAGATGACTTCAAGATAAATAACCTTGTGTAAACTGTTCTGAACAGGCTTCTTGAAGAGCAAGGTATCAGTGTAACAGACTTAAAGCATTAACAAGCTTAAACTTTCCTGGAGAAATAATGAAGTATTGAAGAAAATCAAGTATCTCTTCAAATAAAGCAATCTGCCAAAAATGTACTTCTGCCAAATAATTACAAATTGTTTTGTAATGGCACTTCTGACACCTCTTGCTTTCCACTTACATCTCAGTTATGTGACGTAAGCTCACCTTTGAAAATACAGTCAAGACAAGTATTAATATGAAAAGTAGCATTTCTCATTCAGCACTTTTATGAATCTTCTGTTCCATGAATTGCACAAAGATTCAATGGAAATTCAGAATCAGATTTTTAGAGGAAGCAAAAAGGGAAGAAATTTAAAATGCATAACTCAAAGACACAAAAGAATTATTTCCATAGGGATGGAAGCTGCTAGTCTATGCCAACCTCTTACACAGGGCCTGGTCATGAAGAACATGTAAGTTTTGGCTATGATCCTTGCACTGCTGTTTCTAAAAGTATTCCACAAGCCCCATTCAAGTCATTAAGCTAGCACATTTTTATAGTACAACAGTAAGAAGTTTTAAGAAACATGTATATACTCCTAGCTTCATACAGACTGAAATAACCCTTAGCTAAGTCTTCAAGTGACATTATCATGTTGTAAGCCGCCCCGAGGTTTCGGCAAGGGGCGGCATAGAAATGTTATAATAATAATAATAATAATAATAACAACAACAACAACAACAACAACAACAACAACAACAACAATTACACATGCTCTCAGAACTGGACAAACTGTGCATACGTCATCTGAGTAAAGACATGTCCACTGGTACCCCTAGGCATAGAACCCTGACGTGCATACCCCTAGGGCCAACTTAGGCCAAGTTCAGGTTTCACAGTCTTGGCAGATAATCAGACATCTTCTCTTATTATGGATACAAGCTAAGAACTTTGAGGATTTATAAATAAGTCTCGTATACATTATGAAAGAAAAAGCAACACCAGCTTCCAGGATTCTAGGGGAGTATCATTCACATGTTCCAATTACTTTTTAATGTTTCAATTGAGAAATAACTTTTAAAGACAGAAATCAATTTTTTCTTGTTTATTCCCTTTCCAGGGAGGTCTTTACAGTGCCATACAGAAATACAGTCTTATATAAAGGAATCAATTTACAAGTCTGTATTACATGCTATTAAGACTAAAAAGTAACTTTAGCAGAATAGTTATAGGGTACAGGAGGGCATTAAATCTTATTTAAATTATTAATAATATAAATGTACTCCATTCTGTTAGTGAGCTTTCCTTTTTATGTGTTTCCTTTTCCTCTCTAGAATGGAATCAATTATTTGTGTGTGCATGTGGGGGGGGGGGTAAGATTTGAAGCTATGTGAACAATTAAGAAACCTGGCATTTGAACATAAGTTTAAATGCACAATTTTACCTGTAGCTGTAAGCCTCATCAAGAAAAACATGAGGCAGAAAAGGTTTAATACAGGGACTTAAACAACCAACTAAATTCATCATACAGGCACTATCCCACTGAAGAGCTTGACAGAAGAACAAATAGATCACATTAAATTACACATGTTTTTAAGTGTATTGTGTTACTTGTTCACTCTATATCTTTCCACTACTGTATCTTGTGACAGTGTCATGAGATGTCAGTAGCATCTCAGGAAAAAGATTCAGAACTATGAAATCTTCATACCCATAACTTCTAGCAGAAAACCTAAGTTTTATTTGCTCTCCAGCCCTCTTTTTTCCTTTGTTTTTGCAGTCATTTTCATAATCCTTTCCTCTCTTTCCTATTCACTAATTAACTTTGTTTCATCATTCTCCCTTGCAGTCAGCTACTAGCTCAGCTCAGATTCCATAAGAGCAAGAACCTCTCCCACCCCAAGCCAGGTTGTTCAAAACCTTCTCCCGCTATACTCACTCCTAAGGCTACTGACCTTCTCATACTCTGCTTTGCTCAATTCTATGGATTTCTTTCACCTTCATCAGCTCTTTCCCATTCTTGAGTAACAAATGAGAGGCACCCCAGAGAGACAAGGAGAAAATTATCTGGGGCTGTAAGGAACTATCCCATGGACTCTCCAGTATTAGAGCCTATTAAATAAATAGGAATTTAAAATATAGGAGCACCCCAGCCATAGGTCCCAGGAGTCTATACCAGCCTTTTTTAATGCTAGCTGAAGGAAAAATTGCTAAAAAGTTATAACTATCAGCACACATAGCACCAGCATTTTTAACTATCCTGTCTATGACTCTTGAATAACATAATGGCTATTCTATGGCATAGTGGATAGGGTGATGAAACAGGACTTAGGAGGTCTAGGTTCTAGCCCCTGCTGGCCATGAAGGTCACTGGGTGACTTTGGACCACTGATGGTCTCTCAGCCTAATGTACCTCACAGAAATGCTGAGAGAATAAAAAGAAGAGGAGGGGAGAAATTGTATAAGACATCTTGGGTTCCTTGTAAAAGGGGAAAAGGCAGGGTATCCACAAAATAAATATAAATATTCTCCTGATCAAAGGAAATGTGACTTCTAAACAGCCAATATGGGTCTTTTCTGCATGCACTGAAGCGGGATACAACACATTTATCTGAAGTAACTATCCTGTTGAGCTTTATGGTACACATACAGTACTGTGCAACCAAGGGAGCAGGTGTCTGTTCTGTATGATTTTCTTATTCATTTTAATTTAGAACACTTCTGTATCACCTAATAGCTGAAGCTCTCCTGGTAATTTTCTAGTGTACAAGAGCATTTCTTCTTTGTAATTCTGAAATTATAAATAAAAACTACAGGATCAGAGAAGGGAGCAAGATATCTTCCCATGTTGCTCTCTGAATACAAAGATGTTACTCATAGGAAGGCAGGAACGAACTAGCTGAAATCTTGAGGTTTTAAGACACAGAAATGTTAAGACAGAAAAAAAAATGGATGGCTGGGAAATGACAGACTCTTTCTCATGTCTAAACATGCAGAGGATTGTACTCTAAACTTGTAATCCTAAAGACGTTTACTAAAGAGTAAAGTTCCATTCAATTCTGTGTGCCAATTTTAGACTAAACATGCTCTGAGGTGCACTAAAACACATGAATTATTTGTTATTTGTTTTTCGGCGCCAGGCGAAGACCGTTTTATTTAAGCAGCATTTTAAATGTTAATATTATTGAATTTTATTCGGCCAGGGCGGCTTATTTTATTTTACTGTATATATTTTAATTGTTATTGTTTTAATGTATTTTGTATTTTATTTGATGTTGTAAGCCGCCCCGAGGCCTCGGCAAGGGGCGGCATAGAAATGTTTTAATAAATGAATGAATGAATGAATTATAGCATCCATTTTCATGGACTAGCACACACTTCATCGAAGTTTATGACATGCTGCTTCTTCCCTTGGTAGAGAAAACACACGATACATCCCTTCCACCCACCATCAGGAATTGGGGGGGGGGGGGGGAGATTGTAAACAGCTAGGCCAAAAAGGCTATGACATGACATGCATGAAGAACAAGGTCAGAGAGCAAGAAACTACCACCCCCTTAGCCTAGGAGACACTAATCTGCAAGGTAAATGTACATCTCACGGGGTTCCACGGGACAAAGAACAATACGATGCAGGAGGCCAAGGCGGGGAGCCTATTTCCACCATGCCTCGAATTCATGGCTACTTCGGTGTTTCCCGGCCAACCGGCGAGAAAGGCAGGAAGACGGGGGAATCAGACTCCTGCGAAGATAAGGGGAGGATACCTTCGCCCTAGCCCAGCCCTGCCTAATCCAGTGCCTTCCAGATGTGCTGGAATACAGCTCCCATTACCCTCATTCAGGATAAGAATTCTATACCAACACTTGGAGCACCAGGATAGAGAAGACTGCCATAGCCTTTCTTACCCAGGTGCCCTCCAGATATGCTGGACTACAGCTCCCAACACTACTGCGGGGTGATGGGAGTTGTGTTACAACGTACCCGGAGAGCACCGGGTTGGGGAAGGGGCACGATCCCTCCCTTTCTTTCTTGTTGCTGCCGGTCCTACCACCATTCCATTCCTCGGGCTGGCGGGAGGGCGGACAAGTGGGCGGAGCCTCACCTTCAGCACCGGCGTCAGGTACTCGGCCACCTCCAGCGCTTTCCCTTTCACGGTGTTGATGACGCTCTGCATACTGCCTCGCCCTGCGTGGCCGGACGGAGGGGGACTCCTGCCGTCGGCGCCCACCACCAAACCACCAGCAGACCAACAGCAGGACCCTTCGAGCCGTCCTTTCTTTATTCCTTCCTTCCGGGAAATCCCAACAACAACCTCTACCCTCCCCCTCGTCTCCCCGCCCACCGCTGCCAACGGGCGTGGGGAAGCACGTGAGCTACTCCCCTAGCACGTGACACAGTCGACTTACTCTCCCCTTCCGCAGAGACCGGGACAGAAAAGCGAAGTAAGTGTGTCCGAGGTGGGAGAATTTCTCCAGGACAGTTTGAAAATATGGAGACAAACACCGCAGTTTGTTTTCCTCGCTCGAAGAGCAATCGTTTAAAGGCGCTATCTTAGGGTCAAAACAAACCAAAAGACAGCTTGCTGCCTGGGAAATACTGGGAGTTGTAGGACTTCATCAGGATTCTCTCTAGTCTGTTGTAGCAAAAGGTGCAATGGGTTTTGTGGTGCCTTAAAAGCTGGCATTTATTCTGATGTTAACCTCAAATTGACAGGTGTATATACACATGTATGGTAGGGTGGGTGAAAATGTAAATTGTAGCTACTTGGAGATAGCATGGTGCAGTCTCTGATCAGAGCTACATGTATAACTTCAGTGGATTTAATATTCTATCTTAGCTTCACGATGCAACAGGACTTTTATCTTGTTTGAGAGTTACAAGCCACCAGCACTATCAGTCTTCATTGGTTCTCCACTTTGTGCCCATACAATTCCTTCAATTTTTATAACAATTTATTTGGTATGTTTCACAAAGGCAAAGGTGCCCATGTTGGCCATTAGAAAATTCCAAAATCCATAGTAGTATAACACCTTTAAAAGACCAACCAACATATCAAAAAATGGGCAAGCTTTTGAGAACTCCACATAAATCTTCATCAGGTAAGATGTTACAACAAGCAGGGAGCAAATCAGAAGAGAGAATCTCTGATTTGATCTTTAAGTTACCTACAAGGCAGAGAACCAAGGGCTACTGAGAGGCTGCATCACAGCTTCCTGGAAAACACGTAGAAAGGCAGGAGACCAACCTACTCCATACTTCAATCAGAGAATGAACAGCTGCAAGGAGCTTGTTTAGTCATTCCCCACCAAAAAATATCTAGAAGAATGTTAAAGTTATGATACAATCACACCTGGAATACTGTGTACACTTCCAGTCATCATACCTGAAAAGGATATTGTAGAGTTAGAAAAAGGAGGAAAATTAAAATGATTTAGGGAGAAATTCCTTTTTGAGGAATGGTCACAACAACTGGAATTGCTTAGTGTAGAAAATCAAGTAAAGGGAGACAGAGGCATACAAAATCATGCATGGTGAGGAGAAAGTTGGTAGAGAAACATTTTCCTTCCTCTCTCATCATAATAAAACCCAGGTCATCCTATGAAGCAGATTGGTGAGAGATCCAAGAGAGATAAACAGACTTTTTTCACTCAACATATCTTTAAACAATTGAATTCTCTTCTGCAAGGTATTGTGATGGTCCTCAATTTAGACAACTTTAAAAGGGGACTGGATAAACGCACGGAACAGAAGGCCATCTAGTTCTGATAAATATACAACACCTCCTGTATCAGAAGCAATGTGCCTAAGTATGCCAGTTACTGGGACGCATGGGAAGGAAGGACCTATTGCACGCATGCCTTGCTTGAGGATTTTCTATGAGCAGCTGGCTGACCTTGTGCGAACAGAATGCTGGACTAGACAGACCTTGGCCTGATTCAGTATGGCTCTATTTATGGTCTTACATCCTATGAACCCGGGCCTCAGTTTGGCTTTGCCCCCCTTCCAAACCCTTTTCCTTCCACGCCATTTTTTGGATTATAAGACTAAGGTCAAGAACTGCTTTACTATTAATCTTTCTCCTCCATTCCTTTTCAAAACTGATCAAACACAACCATTTATGTGTTTATAATGACATTTTTGGCTTAAGAGCAGGATAAAAATGTTATCAAATATGAAATAAATTGTGTCTCAATCTTGAGATGAAATGGAGGAGAAAGAATCTGCAGACATACGATAGGTTTTGGAGTTCTTCTGCAGTCAACGAGTTATGGTATGCTTCTTACTCTTAACTTTTCCTATCTCCGTAGGTACCGCGTTGTTCGGTTCTCTATTGCTCTTCCTCGCACTTTGTCACGTGGGTAGGGAGCTTCCGCCTCCTCTCTGCGCGTGCGTAAAGGAGTAACCATTAGGACGCGGCAGGAATGGCTGGGAAAAGCGATGTATAAGGGGGAACCAGCTCTTCTCAGGTAACCGTATCCTGGGGAAGACCGGGGTGGCGGTAGTAGGAAAGTAGCGCCCTTTCCCCTTTATTGTTAAATAACTACGAGCCCCTCTTTATTCGGATCTCTACAAGGTTGGGGAAAGGTTGGGCAATTACTCCAGGTAGCGCTCAAGCAGCCCGGTTGGTCGAAGGCTGACCTATAGCTGGGTCGGAGGCTTGAGCAACACAGCTGATCATTGCCTACAATTGGCTCCTCCAATCTGATGCCTTGCAGATGTGTTAGCATCTGTTTCCTATCATCCCCAGCCAGCATGGCTTTTCCCCATGCAGACTGCAGATAGCGGGAGCTGCAGTCCATCCTGACTGAAGGGCGACAGCAGTGGCTCCCTAAGATTTTAGACAGATGGCAGTATCTTCTAGTGCTCTTGGGAATTTAACCTGGACCAACTTGCATGCAAAGCATGTGCTGTCTGCTCCTGAGCTATGGTCCTTCAATCTCTGCCAGCAAGATGTGGTTAAAATTTATTTGGGAAGCCACTGGTTTAAGTTTCATTGCGGCCGCAGGCTCATTAGGTGGCTTTTGGCAGCCCATTGTTCCATCAGCCTGGAGATCCCTGTTAAGATTATTAATCTGGTTCTTGGGCTTTAGTGGCAACCCAGTAAACATGAATTTCACAGAATGGGCTTTTCCTTGCATATAGATGAAAATGGGAGAAGCTCAGTGCTGGATTGTTTGTAAAAAGACAGGAGATGGGCTGGTAAAAAGGTAGTCACATTCTCACTGTCTGCAATATGTAAATAATAATGCCAGTCTACTTTAGTAGATTGCAGAGTTCATAACAATGGCAAAGATTGTGTCTGTAAAGTGCTTGGAATGCCGGAACTGTTGTGTGCGCACTAGTTAGTATTCTTATTACACCTATATGACTTGCATCCATAAGGTTGACTAATCCTGTCATGTTATAGAGTGGTTTGTATTGTTCCATGATCTGCTAGCATAGTGTATCTAAGATCACAATATGTAGTTGGACTGGTACTTAAAGGGGTATATAGGAAACAGAAAATACAAGAGCTCTCCTGGGAATATGGCTACTTCTGCCTATTGTACAGTATCTGTCTCAAATGTACATTGCAATACTGATTGCTGTTTTACTGCTGGATTTTATTCTGATGCCCTCTTCTTGCCCATAGCTCGTTTCCCACCTACACACAATGCTTAGATTTTGTATTTTTTATTTATTTAATTTTGGAGGCATAATACACACCCTATTTTCACTGCAAAGAGGTATGAATGGTTCTCCTTCAACATCATTGTCAAGGAAATGGTTTTAACAGTAGTCATATCATAGATTCTTATCGCTGAGAAAACCTGATTCTCTACCTCATAAATAAAATTTGTGCTAGTGCTTGTGGCATATAAAGATTGAAGTGTGCTCCTAACATCATATATGACAAAATATCCTCACTTTCCCTTTCACTGTGCTCCAGTATAATTTTAGAGATTTAAACATTACTTTTATTATGTTTTCTTTCCACCTTTTTTTCCTCTTGTAAGGAACCCACAGTGGCTCACATGATCCTCTTCCTTTCCATATTTATCCTCACACCAATGCTGTGAAGTAGATTAGTGCTTCTCTCTTTTTCAACATTGTACTTAACCATATAAAATGCAAAAATAAAGAAACTTACACACCCCAAAAAAAGGAAGAGAGAAAGAAAAAACGAACTTCATCAAAAATAGGGCAAAGCTACCTTTCTGCCACTATTCAAGAATCAATCAATCAATCGTGTGAACAAACTTGCTTTCCCCTGTCCCCCACCAAAAAAGGGAGGAGCAAGGCTACTTTTCTGTAGTGAAGTTCATGTGAACAATTGCCATTCATTAGTGGATAACAATAAAAGGGAAAATGCTTCACTTATGTCTTCTAAAATAGACACATCAAATGAACCCAGGTGGTTTTTAAACCCTGACTTGTTGCAAACAAGCAAGCAGCACTAGCAAAGCAGGGAAGTCATGTGCCTAGGATGCTTTCTGTGATAGGCAAGGCAGAGCTGGAGCATAGGATTTAACACGTAATATTAAACCTCCTCTCAGCAGAAATGATTGGGTAGCATTTACTAACAGGTGTCCCATTCACTATAACTCAGGGTTTAAAGAATAAGGAAGTGGCTTGTAGTGAGAAGTGAGTTATAATTTTCACTGATGAACAGTTTGCATTCATAAGTGCACACCTTCACAGAATCTTCCCTTTCTGCTGCTAATACTGTACCATATTGTGGAGAGTGGTGCCTATCTAAAAGGGAGATGTTCTGTTTTGTGTAACCTTATTTCGCTTTGTAAACTACATCCATCCTGTATTTATTGTGGAGTTCTTCCAGTCTTCAGTGTGGTATGTGCTGAATCTGCACAGCCATAATGAAAGTTCCAAGTGAGCTTTCCCAGTAGATTTAATTTGTTGTGTCAACTGTCCAGTAATCAGTATATGCCATTTCAATTCATGAAGCAACAGCCAGATTCTGCATTTAAGCTGACTGTTGTTTAATATTTTAAACACAGGCAGTATGTAGAGAAATACACAATTATGTATAATGAGAATGAAAACAAAAGTATGAATTTGGAATGTAGTGTATTAAAGTCCTGAGTGCTGAGTGTCCTTTCTTAGACAAAGCTGAATTGTTTTTGCTTCTGTGCCCATAACTTGATTTGACAGTTATCAAAAATTTGATTTCTGCTCTACAAGAAATCTAGTGTAAATTCTATGTATAAAACAAACAAACAACCCTTCCTTGCTTTCCCCATGCCCTTTGCTTTATCTTATGAGGAAGTAGCCCTATGGAGCTGAGCATTAGCGCATACACAACTGGTGCAGAGTGGGAGGAGCAGCAGCAGAGGCAATCTTCATCTCCTTTCTCTCCCAATTCATGTTTATTTCAGAGAGGGAAAGCAGAAGGCTGGAGAGGCCCGAGGATACTTTGCATCCTATGTTTTCCAGTTTTCTTTTCCCCTTGGACTCTGAAATTCCCCCCTCTACCCACTCTTAAGGATAGCTTCTTGACCCTGAAGAGCAGCCACTGCATTTCTGTTCACACCAGCTATGAGGGCATGGAGGAGGGGGTTGGAGCACCACTTCTCAGACCAGTCCTGTAGCCCTTCAGACAATGTCTAGGGGTCATAGGATCACTCCCTCTGTTTATTTTCACAGAATTGACTAATACGTAGATGTGTGTGTGTGTGTGTGTTTATTTATTAAACTTATATTCTGCATTAATAGTCCTGTAGGACTTTCTAGTCAGGGGTGTGTGTGTGAGAATAATTGTGAGTTTGTTCACAAATACTGAAGCTTAAAAGGGTATACTGCTATAAAAACCAAACCAAAATGGATTAATTATATAGATGAAAGAAAAAATCAAATGTTTGATAAAATACATATCTGCAGTTTAAATTCTTGTTACACAACTTGGATCACCTGTTCCAAAATGCTTGGATGGAATAAGCCTTTCAGCAGACACTGAACATGAGACATGTACTGTAAAATTCCATTTGTATATGGAGTCAAGCAATAAAACATGTTGCTTTTTTTCTTAAATGACTTATCTGATAAGCCTTTTGCTTTGCCATTCAAAGGGCACTGTCAACAAGGCAACAAAATGGATTCTAAAGGCTACAATCAGCCTACTCGGTG